GTCAGCACCACGCTCAGCCAGTGAGCGAACCGGCCATCCCTACATGGGATCCGAACCCGGGGCCTTGGTGTTATCAGCACCACACTCTCCCGAGTGAGCCACGGGCCGGCCCTTTTGTGTCCATTTTTATGGAGATTCAGGAGAAATTAATTCTGGCTCAAAGCCTCCAAATCAGTAGGTACAAAAGAGTAAGCCATACTCATATAAGTCCTCTTGTAATTAAGAGGAAGGAGATCAATATGATCTTGCAATATTTATTTAGAAGCAGTGGGATATGGGAAAGGCCTGGAAAGTTTGGTAGGATTTGATTGGGTAAAAAGTGAATAAAAGTAAGCCAAGTTGCAGGAAATTGACAAATGTTGAGAACTTGTTGTATGAAAGGTGTTCTTCTAGGCACTTTATCTGATGAAATTCTCATAGCAACCCTTTGAGGCAGGTAGATATTATCCCTCTTGTATATTTGAGGAAACAGACTCAGAAAGGTTTAAGTGACTTACAAAAGGCCAAATAGCTAGTAAGTGTCAGAACCAGATTTGAACACCACACTGCTTCCTATGAAATGTAAAGGAGGTTGGCAAGATTGATGTGTTGGAGGTGCTTAGAAAAGACATAATATTATAGAATAGTAGTTCTGGATTCTCTCATTAGTCATGGTTGTGGGAGTGACCTTGCAGGGCCATGCATTTAATCTGTTTTGGCATAATATGAAAGTTTTTCTCCTATATTTTGAAAAATCTTCAGGTGGGAGATTCCTCTCTGTCGTTCCGTTATTTAACTGTATATAACACTCCTCGGTCTGGAAACCATAAGACCCTTTAAGCTCTTAGAGAATTAAAGTTGACATCTTCCTCTCTTCTGTCCTCTAGAGGGATTGTGGTTTAAAGTTAAAAGTTGAGGGGGGTGGGATTATGGAATAGTGTGTTGAGATTAATGGTGGGAGCATTGAAGATTGGCAGTGGATTTTTGTTGTGAGTTCTGTTACCTTTGACTTGGAACTTTTGGAAATAACTTTCTCCTCCCCTAGCTGCTCACAGGCACTGTGTCTAGCCTGGAAGACCATGGCTACCTAGTAGACATTGGTGTTGGTGGTACCAGAGCTTTTCTGCCACTGCTGAAAGCCCAGGAGTACATCCGACAGAAGAACAAAGGTGAGGGCAAGAAGAGGAACCACTACATGGTAGTGAGGTGGTGCATATGTAGATTATACTTAAATGCCACTTAGGGTGAGTAACATGACAGAATGGTGTTCCTGAAGGCTGTTTGGCTTTGGTAGAATCAGCAGTTAATTTTCTAGCTGATAGTAAAGGGAAGATGTGGGAAGGGGCACAGAGTAGCAGGGCCTCATTAAAAACTAATGGACAGTTTCAGTTGTTCTCATCTAGAATATTCCACCGAAATTTGAGCCCCCAGGGCCTCTGAACCAGTGCTCTCTGGGGTTGTTAAAATTCTCATAGTTTTGTGGGGTAGTTGAATTCCAGATCAATTAAAGTAATTTCATGCCCTTCTTATAGTTGATCCTTAGAGATTGGGAATATGGCAAGTATTAAATATTAACTGGGCAGGTAGGTCATGAATCTTTTTGGGTATTGCTTGGGCCCAAGTTAAAGGTCCTTCTCATAGAGGTATTCTTCCTTTTGGGGACTGGGGCTGGGCTTACAGGTGCCAAACTGAAGGTGGGTCAATACCTGAACTGCATCATTGAAGAGGTGAAGGGCAATGGAGGAGTTGTCAGTCTGTCTATAGGTCATTCAGAGGTTTCTGCAGCCATTGCTACTGAGGACCAAAACTGGACACTTAATAACTTGCTACCAGGACTGGTGGTCAAAGCCCAGGTACAGAAGGTAAGCTGTTCATTGTTACTACTATTTTCTAAAACAAAAACAGTTTTACTCAAGTATTACATGTGTCCAAATATGAGCTAAAAGTATAATGCCCACCAAACTTAGAAGGTATCTTAAGACTGAAGGACGAAGCAGGCAAGTCCATACAGTTTACAAGGAGTTTATTATTATTATTGAGGGGTGACTTACAGGGAATGGATTGGGGGCAGTATTGATTGGGTGCTGTGCAGCTGCTTTCTCTCCACCCCTGGGGTTGGGGTGGGGGTGGGGTGAAGGGAGGGAGTTGAAGCTTATAGGGGACTTAGAGACAAAAGTGGAGCTATGACAGAGAGAAAGGCTGCAAAAGTGAAAGATTCCCAGGCACCTTGCAGCAAGTTGTTGCTTATCTTTGGGGCTGCTGGCTTCACTCTCCTTATCTTACACAAGCATAACATTCTGTTCCTTTCCCGGTCTCAGTTGCTAAGCAACTTGTGCAAGGAAAAGATTGTAACTATTGAAGCCACAGCCCTAAAGGCCATAAGGATACAGTTGAGTTTTGACCAGCATTCTTACATACATGTAAACAATCTACAACTGTGCTGCCCAGTAGGGTAGCCACTAGTTACATGTGGCCATTGAGCACTTGAAATGTGGCTGGTGCCACATGTTGAAATTATATTTTGGATATATTAGATTAAGGAAAATATTATTAAAGTAAGTTTCATCTCTTTCTTTGTAGTTTTTAAAATGTGACTGCTAGGAAACTTGATCTAAAAGGTCAAAGAGCATTAAAATGCTTATAATGAAGAACTGTCTCATCCTTTTTAACTGCCATCTTTAAATATTTTAGCTTATCTTTTGAAATTTCCCTCCATATTTCTATGTAATAAGTAATAAGATTCTGCTTGTATTTCTTGGTTTATCAATTTTAGGCATTGGATTTTAACTTCTTAAGGTAGATGAAGATTTGGCTCTTTTTTCCTCCCTTCTTCTCCCCTATCCCATCAATATAGGTATATTAAATTTTTGATGAAATCAGCATTCACTGTTTAAAATATTATGACTATGTAAATATCGTTTACTGGTGAGATAAGGTAATGTATTAATGGCTGTTTCTTGAACAGCTTTTTTTCCTTGAGTTGATAATCAGGTTTTTTTTTTTTTGTCATTTACTAAATTCTTTTCCTGCCTGTCACTGTTTCTTCTTATACCCTCTACTTATTTTCCTCTCACTACAGTTTTCCATGCTTTTAAATCCTCTAAATAATCTCTTAGTTACTATTTTCCCCCTACCTGGAGCCCCTTTTGCTGTCAGCCTGTTCCCATCTGAACTGGTTGCTCTGTAGCACTCCTGCATAGCTGATATCCTAGGTAGGACTTCCTTTCCCCTCTCTCCCCTGTCTCTGTTGAGGCCTTCTTTGATCCCATGCATTCCTCTTTTTTGTTTTACTCTCTCATTTTAGTGTGACACATTATCCAGAAGCATTCTCAGAAAGGTACATGGGAGGTTAATTTCTTGACCCAGTGTGTTGGGGATCCCCAAGACCACTCCCAGGTTTAATGATGCCAGGAAGTCTCATAGGATTCAGAATATAGTTGTACTCACAGTTACAATATATTACAGTGAAAGGCTACAAAGCAAAATCAGCAAAGGAAAAAGGCACAAGGGGTGAGGTCCAGAAGAAACCAGGTACAAGCTTCCAAGAGTTCTCTCCCAGTGGAGTCACACAGGATGTGCTTGATTCCTCCCAGAAGTTATGACACCAAATGTGAAAGATTGTCTACAGGGAAGCTCACCAGAAGCTCAGTGCCCAAGGGTTTTTATTGGGGTTGGTCAAGTGGGCACCTACTGCCTGGCATATACCAAAATTCCAGACTTTCGTAAGGAATGTGGGTATTTAGAATGAACCATATTATTTAAACAATTTAGGTACAGTGAGTCATTCTTATCAGTTCTGGGAGTGGTGAGAATTCTCCCAAAACCTGTTTCCCGACGCCAGCCAAGGGGCAACCTTGCAAGCAGGCTTTTCTAAGGATCCCAACCTCAGGCCTGCTATATTAACTCTTTTCTGCAAACCTGCCATGTCTGAAAATATCTGTTCTACTCTCACATGTGATTGGTAGTTAAAGTGGGTGTAAGAATTTTAGGTCAAAAAAACCTCTGAATTTTGAAGCTGTTATTCCCATTGACATCTGGCTTCTGTTGCTGTTGAAAATTCTGATGCTATTTTGATTTTTCTTCCTTTGTATGTTATGTTTTCTCTTTCTTTTTTATTCTAAAATGTCATTAGGATGTGCTTTGGTATGGGTTTTCTTTCTTCCTTTATTTGTGCTGAACTCCTACAATATAGAAAAGTAGATCCTTCAGTTCTGGGAAGTTCTCCCGTATTATGATTTTTTTTAATTTTAAAATTGAATTATAATTCACATATCATAAGGATCACCCTTTTAAAGTGTACTGTTCAGTGTTTTTTTTTTTTTAAGTATATTCACAAAGTTGTGCAGCCATCATTACTATTTAATTCCAGAACATTTTATCACCCCAGTAAGAAACCCTGTACCTGTTAGTGGTTACTCTCCATTCCTCCCTCCCTTGAGCCCTTGGTAACCAATAATCTACTTTTTGTCTCTAAATTTGCCCGTTCTGGACATTTCATATAAATGGAATCAAACAACGTGCGGCCTTTTGTGTCTCATTTCTTTCACTTAGTATGTTTTCAGGGTTCATCCATGTTGGAGCATGTATCAGTACTTCATTCCTTTTTTATGACCGAATAATATTTCATTGTATGGATATAGCATATTTTCTTTGTCCATTCATCAATTGATGGATACTTGGGTTGTTTCCACTTTTGGCTGTTATGGATAATGCTACTATGAAATTCACATACAAGTTTCTGTGTGAACATGTTTTCATTTCTCTTAAGTATATACCTAGGAATGGAATTGCTGGATCATATGATAATTATGTCTAATTTTTGGGGGGACAGCCAAAGTGGCTGCACCATTTAATATTCCCAGCAGCAATGTATAAGGGTTCTAATTTCTCTGCATTCTTACTAACACTTATTATCTTTTTACCATAACCATTCAATTAATGGGTGCGAAGTGGTATCTCACTGTGATTTTGATTTGCATTCCCCTGATGATTTGTGATGCTGAGCATCTTTTTGTGTGTTTATGTGGCCATTTGTATATCTTCTTTGGAGAGATGTCTATTCAAAAGTCCTTTGCCCATCTTAAAATTAGGTTATTTGTCTTTTTATTGTTGAGCTTTGAGAATTCTTTATATATTCTGGATACTAGCCCCTTATCAGATCTTGTATTTTCTAAAAATACATAATTTCCTCTTCATTTTGTTATACACATGTATTTGTCTGTGTCCTGCCTTCTGGGATAGTTTCTCAACTTTAACTTCTAATACTCTATTAAATTTTTGTTTAGACTGCTATATTATGAATGAGGTGCTAAAAAACTGATAGGAGGTCTGTGAGCCTGGGTGGGACTTGTTGACTGGCTGACTTCACTGTCAGGAATAGGAGCTAGCAGATTTTCTTTGGGCAGCCTCCAAATGTCATTGTTATGGTCTTCTCTGGCATGTTAGATTTCTCTAGGAAGGATCTAGCAGTCTCCACCCAGAAGGGTCTAAGCCTGGCTTCCTGAGAGCAAGATGGGTAAAAAGGGTTGGATGTCTCCATATCTGTATGGTGTTTATGATTTTTCTTAGTCCCCATTTTTAGGATTGGCATTCTTCCTGTGTTTTGATTCTGGTACAGTTTTCCCGGAGAATATGTTTCCCATTTTCTGTGGAGGTAGGAGAGGGGTGGATCCTGCAGGAAGAGGAGGGGAGCTGGGGATCAGAGTTAGTTCCCTGATTTCAGTCACCTTTCTCACTGCTCTCTTTGGAGGTAATTCACCTTAGCTTTTGGGGAGCTCTGTCGGGTGAGTCTGCTCATGGTCAGTATCTCCCTTTTGTAAGCATTTGAGCTTTACCTTCTTAGTTTGTGCAGATATCCAAGTTAGCAGGAATTTGTCCAAGTTCCATTTCTCCAAGGATACTTGTGCAAAGCTCCTTCCCTCCTGCTGAAAAATCCCAGAGGGTGGGAGGATTGATGTCCTCTCTTAGGCTGGAAGGGAGGTGAGCTTACTAAATAAGGTTTAGTAAGTTTTCCTTATTTAGGCTTATTTAGGCTTGGAGTTGTCCTGCCACTTGATTTTATAGGAAGAGAGATGGATAATGGTTAACTGGGGGAGGAGAGGTACACAGTTATCGGTAATGTGGCATTGAGTGTTAACTATGAACAGTGTCTCTCAAATTTCTGGTTCTTTCTGAGAAATGTTTTTCATAACTTGTTCTGTTTATTTCTAGGTGACTCCATTTGGCCTTATGCTAAACTTCCTTACATTCTTCAAAGGCCTGGTTGACTTTATGCACCAGGATCCTAAGAAGGCTGGAACATATTTCTCAAACCAAGCAGTAAGAAATGTTGCACCTATCTTTTCTTGATTCCATTTGTATCCCAATACAGCTAGCTATAGGGCAGACCCTAGAACTGCATGTGTACAGGTGTGCAGAGAGGAGATAAGGGGAACAATAAAATGCACTTTGGAAGGAACACAAGAAACTGCTAGTGGTTGGACTGAGATTAGAGAAGGAGCAGGTGGAGAAGGTTGAAACTTTGAGTTTTTACTACATCATTTTCTGTATGTGTGATTTTTTTTTTTGATAGTAAATCTTTTGCTTTTATAATTTAAAGTGTTTTAGGAGAGTGCTTAACATAGGACAATAAGATACCTTTAAATAGAAATATGTGGCTTAAAAAATTCTAGGAGTAGTGTAAATCCAGTTTTGAAAAAAAATAAAAAGTACACCTGGTTAAGATACCGGAAGATTATGGGCCGGCCCCATGGCTCCCTTGGAGAGTGCGGCGCTGATAGCGCCGAGGCTGCGGGTTCAGATCCTATATAGGGATGGCTGGTGCGCTCGCTGGCTGAGCGTGGTGCAGACCACACCGTGCCTAGGGTTGTGATCCCCTTACCGGTTTAAAATATATATATATATACTGGAAGATTATGTAATCAGGTGTTAATAGTGATTAACTCCAGAAGATTTTTCTACTCTTGTCTAAATATTCAAAATTTCTACAACAAACGGGTATTTGGGAAGAAAATCACAATATATGTTATTCTGAATTTAAAAAAAATTATTTTGAACAGTAATATATGCTTATGAATACTATAGAGAAGTTTATTTTAAGTTAAAAGTAGGTTTTTCCATCATCTAGTGATAATGTTAACCTTTTTTTTTTCCTTTTTGTCTTTTCTTCATGACCGGCAATGGATCGCAACCCTCAGTGTCGTGCCCGTACCGGCCTGGGACCAGCAACGGGATCGCAACCCTCGGTGTTGCTCCCCGCACCTCGCTCAGCCAGGGAGCGGGAACCAGTCTGTATGTGGGATCCGAACCTTCGGCGGGAGCGCCGCCGCGCTTCCCAAGTGGCGCACTGTAGCAGTGCGCCACCGGGCCGGCCCATAATGTTAACCTTTTGATGAACATTTTTCTAGTAATTTTTTTCTCCCTGTAGTTATATTTGTGTACAAAGTCGAGACATTTTACATGTTTTAACCTTGGGATCAGATCAGAGTTTTTTTTACATATTGCAGATGATCCTTTGCTGTAGTGACATTAGTACATGGTTTCTGTTGTATGTGCTTTAGCCTCTTGGTGTTTTGGGGACTCCTGGTATATGTTTTTCTTGGCCTTGAGTAAGTGTTTGATTTAGTCAGACATAGTCCCTTAGGGACATTTTGTTTGACTTTTTCACATGCTACTTGATTACACAGCCGACTTTAGTACTTATGTGCTAATGATTTTAGTACTTACATACCTGGTTAGCACATGGAGAGTCTTGACCCTCAGAAAGTCTGCTCTAGGTTGTCTCCTGTTTGTCTCCTCCTGCTTATCCTGCTGTTTCTTTTGTCTAGGTAAGGGCCTGCATCCTCTGTGTCCATCCTCGGACCAAAGTTGTGCGCTTGAGCCTGCGCCCCATCTTTCTGCAACCTGGGCGCCCGCTCAGTCGGCTCTCTTGCCAGCATGTTGGAGCTGTGCTGGATGACATTCCTGTCCAAGGCTTTTTCAATAAGGCCGGGGCCACCTTCAGGCTGAAGGATGGGGCTCTGGCCTATGCCCGGGTAAGGAGGCGTCTTTGTTTGGTCAGGGACCATATCACCAAAAGGACTTTTGGGATACTTTGGTCCTTTTCTGCTTCCGTAATCCCTTGATATTAGTTTATTTTTTGATATCCCAAAGTGTGACAGACTGTTCGTAGGGATTAGAACAATGTCTGTTTTTGTGTTGGGATGCCTTAGAACCAACTTGCCGTGTTTGACACTTGCTTAGTGGTGGGCACAAGAATGAATTTGGGTCTGGACCAGGGCCCAGCAAGGCTTTTTGTAAAGGGCCAGATAGTAAATATTTTAGGCTTGTGAGCCATATGGTCTCTGTCCTAACTACTCAGCTTCATTGTTACAGCATGAGAGTAGCCATAGACAGTATGTAAATGAATAGGCATGGCTGTGCTCAAATAAAACTTTAATTTTCAAAAATAGGCAGTGGCTCCTGAGCTGTAGTTTATTGACCAATGATCTAGACTGTTATCTGACCTTATTGAGATTTCTTGATGGTAAGGAACAGTTTTTTAGTGAGAAGAATTAGTTTACCAGGCCATCAAAGTACTGTTGTTATGGTAGGTGATAAATGTGTTGAGTCATCTCTGTGACGTAAAGTCTGATTGGCTCAGATCTGTTTTCTCTGGCTTGTCCTCAATAACTTGATATTTTGCAGCTCAGCCATCTCTCTGACTCTAAGAACATCTTCAATCCTGAGTCCTTCAAGCCAGGGAATACCCACAAGTGTAGAATTATTGACTACAGCCAAATGGATGGACTGGCTTTGCTCTCTCTGCGGACGTAAGTCTGTCATTGACACATGTTGGGGTGTAGAGGTGTGCTCTTGTACATATGCACATTCAGTTTCTCCAGGCCTTGATGGGGGTTTCCTTTCTTGCCAGAGTGATTGTGGTAGCCCTGAATTTTAGGCAACCTCTGCCCCAGTTTATCTCATCCTGTATTTTCCTTTTGTCCTAGGTCTATTATTGAAGCTCAGTACCTAAGATATCATGACATCAAACCTGGGGCAGTGGTAAAGGTAAGATATCAAGCATATAATTAGATACTCCCCACCTTCAGACATTCTTTAGTTCACAGGTTAACTATCAGCTCATTAGTCCTCATGTTAACACATTTAAAGTCATGTTTCTTGCCTCTGCCTGCTAACTGGGATTTCTTTCTTTTCCCTTGGGTGACTTGTAATTAATTTCAAGGTAAGGTCTTACTAGCACCACTGTACTATGCAGAAGCACTAAATAATAAATCCTGGGATTTGAGATTTGGTAGTGGTTATTAGACCAGATCAGAAGTTAGTTCTGTGATAATTGAGCTGCTCATTAATTGGAATGTTAGTGAGAAGCTAGTTCCAGTTGCCTTTCCTCTCCAATTGTTTGGCTCTGATTGAGCAGCTCCCCCATATACGTAAAGTTCATTCATTAGGAAACAGTCCCCTACTTTAGGGAATGTACTCATAAGGCAGACAGAAAGTACATTCTTACACAAAAAGATGTGAAGGTTCCCCTAAATAAACCTGACTAAATCCAGATCAGTGTGAGGTGTGTGCTTTACCCACATGAGATGTGGAGTGACAGGCATAGTTAGCCCAGAAAGGTGGCTTTGAAAGAGGCGTGACATGCTGTGTTGTAAGAGATGGGCATCATGGCATCTTTTCTTTGGACTTGCCAGGGCACAGTGCTGACCATAAAGCCATATGGAATGCTGGTGAAGGTGGGCGAGCAAATGAGGGGCCTAGTACCTCCCATGCACCTGGCTGACATCCTGATGAAGAATCCGGAGAAGAAGTACCACATTGGGGATGAGGTTAAGTGCCGGGTGAGCCTTCCAAAGGGTGTCTGTTGAGATTTTTGGCTAGATGGGAAGAGAGCAGTTCTCAACTGCAGTTTCTGCCTTTTTCCACAAAGTGAACATGTCACATCTGCAGTGTCCAGTGCTATGCCTGGCATTGGAAAGAGCAAAATGAGTTCCTGTCCTGAGAATTGTACAGTATAATTGGGAGGTAAAATGTCTGTACATGAGGAGAGAGTGAGCTAGTGCGTGACCTTTGCTGCGTGGTTTGGTATAGGCTATATGCTGTGGTCAGGTCTCAGAAGGGGGAGGTGAGGGTGGGCTTGGAGCAGCCAGAATCATTGTTATCAGTAGCGACTATCATGTAACATGTATTCTGTGCTAGGCACATGACACACATTCTTTCATTTAATCCTATATAGTGAGTACAGTTGACTCTTGAACAACATGGGGGTTAGGGGTACCAACCACCCATCCCCTACCTGTACAGTCGAAAATCTATGTATAACTTTTGACTCCCCAAAAACTTAACTACTACGGAGTTGGTTAACTACTTAAGTAGTTAAGGCTCGACTACTTAACTACTAGTAGTCTACTAGTAGCCTACTGTTATGTCATGACATACCTAACCAAAAATTTTCCAACTTATTTGTTGAAAAAAAAAAACTGTACAAGTGGACCTGTGTAGTTCAAACCCATGCTGAAGGGTTTGAACTACAAACCTTTGTTCAAGTATTAACTGTTTTATTATCCTCATTTTGCAAGTGGGAAATTAAAGCTTAGGAAAGCCAAGTATCTTGCCTAAAGTCATATAGCTAATAAACGGCAGAACCAGTTTTCAGATGCAACTCTATATGACAATAATGCCTTCTAGATTTCTGGCAGAGGTAAGGCTTGAATTAGAAAAGATGGGTAGGATTTGGAAGGTTGGGGAGGAAAAAGGGGTGTGTTCCAGGCACATAAATAGCCCAGGCAAAGCTGCCAAAATGTGGGTTTTTCAGAAAAAAGGCTTATACCCAAGAGAAGCTTCACAGGGTTGTGAAGATTAAATGTGATAATACAGAGTGCTTAACACATGGCCTGGTGTGCAGACACTCAAAATATTGGGGTTTCTTATGTTCGTTTTGTTTTATCATTATTGACTCAACAAAGTTATTGATTGCCCAGTGGTGCAAAATTTTATAGTAGTGGGGCAGAGGGTTAGAAACAGGAATTTCTTTGCCCTCAAAGGGATGACCTTCTGAGGGGTGAGAGATGGTTGGATATCAGTTTATAGCTGATAAATAGTAGTACTGAGATGGTAAATTGATTCAGTCATTCATTCTGTTAGACTAATTGCGATGCCTACTAGGAAGGAGCCAAGGTGTTGTAGAAGTTACTGTAATACAAAACTGGAGGTGCTGGAGGATATTGGGTGTTGCTTCACGGCCAGGAGCGGGTAGTTTGTAGCAACTTATGGGAGGACGTACATTTGGAATAGAAATTAATACTCTCTAAATTGTCATCCAGCAGGAAGCAGAGAGGATCTGCAGCTGAGATAACCAAAAGCAAAGAGGTTGTAGGTTCTTGGGAATGACACATGGCCTTTGAGTTTGAGGGTAGGGGAGCAGAGACCAGTTCAGTGGCTCTTTTGATAATAGGTAACTTAATGACGGCCAGTATCCTTCCCCTAGGTTTTGCTTTGCGATCCTGAAGCCAAGAAGCTGATGATGACCTTGAAGAAAACCCTGGTTGAGTCCAAATTACCTGCCATCACCTGCTATGCCGATGGCAAGTCTGGTCTGCAGACACATGGCTTCATCATCAGGGTCAAGGATTATGGCTGCATTGTGAAGTTCTACAATGATGTGCAGGGACTGGTGCCCAAGCATGAGCTCAGTGCCCAGTATATCCCTGACCCAGAGAGGGTCTTTTATATTGGCCAGGTAACCCTTCCCTTGCATAGATCCCCTACCCTTGGTGACTTCATGAACATAGATTTGAAGGAGTAGCGAGTAGGAAGGCTGCCTTTTAAGAGACTGAGAAACGTAGCATGTAGGGCAGTGGGCCTGAGCCAGCCAAGTGGAGGAGATGGGTAACAGTATACAGAGAAGCCCTCACAGGGGTTCAGCAGAAGCTGGCACACTTAACAGATCTCAAGCTCACAACCTGGACCACATTAGTCTTTACCTGTAATACACTGGTCTCCCTCCCATCAGAAGTTGTGCTGAGGGCCGGCCCGGTGGTGCACTGCTACAGTGCGCCGCTTGGGAGCGCAGCGGCACTCGCGCCGAGGGTTCGGATCCCACATACAGCCCAGCCGCTCACTGGCTGAGTGAGGTGCGGGAGCAACACCGAGGGTTGCGATCCCGTTGCCGGTCCCGGTCCGGTACGGGCGCGACACTGAGGGTTGCGATCCGTTGCTGGACACAAAAAAAGACAAAAAGGAAAAAAAAAAAAGAAGTTGTGCTGAGACCAGTCATCACAAAGGGACAGTGCTATAAAACAAGTGTGTCTGGGTCTGTCTAGGAAAAATGCTTTTTTAAAACTTGGGATTATGGGGCCGGCCCGGTGGCGCACTGCTACAGTGCGCCGCTTGGGAGCGCGGCAGCGCTCCCGCTGAGGGTTCGAATCCCACATACAGACCGGTTCCCGCTCACTGGCTGAGCAAGGGGCGGGCGCAGCACCGAGGGTTGCGATCCCGTTGCCGGTCCCGGTCCGGTATGGGCGCGACACTGAGGGTTGCGATCCGTTGCTGGACACAAAAAAAGACAAAAAGGAAAAAAAAAAAAACTTGGGATTATAACCCCAAAATTATCCATGTCTTCCTTTTACCAAAAATGCTGACTTGTGGGCATTCTGGCTAGCTGTTGGTAGCTGTCAGTACATTTCTTCTTTTCACTGTATTCTGATCTGATCCAAGGTTTTGGTGGATCTCCCAAGGCCTCTGCAGTACTACTGGAGGACACCACACTGCAGGCCCTGCAAGGCCTGCTGGGAGGAGTTAGTCAAGCACATGTGCTTTCTCACCAGGTGGTGAAGGTTGTAGTGCTGAACTCTGAGCCGTCCAAGGAGAGGATGCTCTTATCCTTCAAGCTGTTGAATCATCCAGAATCAAAGAAAGAGCATGCCGGACACAGTCAGAAGAAAAGAGGAGGTGTTAATGTTGGACAGGTACCTGGACTTCTCCAGAGAAGTATTTTATTTTCCAGTGGCTGAAAGCAGGATACCACTGACACCTGGGGTACTGCAACCCTTTGGGGGGGGGGGTAAGATAGAGGTTGCTAGGTAAGATTCTGGGGCTTGAGGGATTCTTGAGAGAGGACCTCATACCTGTTCTTGTCTGTGTGCCAGAGGAAATGGAAGCTGTCTGTGAAAGGCAAATTCTGTCATGGGGTGGCTTTTCAGCAAGGCGCTGCTGCCCTTTCTTCTCTGGTCTCTAGGGCCAGCCTGCATCTGCCTTTTCTCCGGGCCCCAGTGAAGGGACTTGGGAGATGAGAGCTATGAGCCCACAAACGAGTTCTGGTGTGTGTGTACACGGGTATGCATGCTGGGTTGTTGGGGGTGGAGTGGGGTCTGGAAGAAAGCTGCTTCTCTGCTCTTGGCCTCTTAGTGATCCCTGGTGCTGGAATTTGACAGTCTGAGCTCATCCTGATTCAAACTAGGTTGCTGTCTACTCAAGCCAAGTGCTATTTTTTGTTTTTCTCTTTCTTGGGTAGTTGGTGGATGTGAAGATTTTAGAGAAGACCAAAGATGGGCTGGAGGTGGCCATCCTGCCCTACAATATCCCTGCTTTCCTCCCCACGCCTCATCTATCGGACCACGTTGCCAATGGCCCACTGTTACATCACTGGCTCCAAGCAGGTGACACCCTCCACCGAGTCCTCTGTCTGAGCCAGAGTGAAGGACATATTGTATCCTTGCCTAGTATATGTGGAGCAGCGGAAGGTGGGGGAGCCATGGGCCCTCATGGGAAATTCTGGGTTAAGCTCTGCTCTTAGAAACCTCATGGGGGAAAAAAAAAATCAGCCATAAGAACGGAGAAATACTTCCAGAAGATCAAACCAGTGCTGCTAGCAGATGCTGGTGGTCAGGGTGGAATAGCCAGGAAGTTTGCAGGGGAGAGTGGGAGTCCAGATGGTCAGGGAGGAGGGAGTGTGGCATGCAGGGTCCTTTGGGATGTCCCCAGTAGCATGTCCAGCCTTCCTGGGGCAGTCGGTGATTGCCCCTTGGGTTACAATTAATAAGGGGGCTTCTGTCCTCCTTTCCTCACTTTCCCCTTTTCCTCCCTACCCGTTCTCGGCATGGGGCTCAGAAATACTCCCTTTCGTCTTTGGGTAGGTGCTTTGAAGGAGGACGCTGTCTCTTCACAGATTGTGAGATAAAATTTCCTTAGAATGAAAATGGGCTGAGGAGGTAAAATAGGTTTCATTAGCGTGAGGATGGGGACAGTGAAGGATTGTGCAATGGCTCTTCCAGCTGCCAAATCACGGGATGAGCCTCCCCTTTTCAGTTCCCTCCAGTAGTGTGGAGGTGAATTAGTGTGGATCAGAATCACCAGGAACACTTGCTAAAACAGATGGCTGGGCCCCACCCCAGAGTGTCTAATGCAGTAGTCTGGGGTGGTACTTCAGAACCTGCCTCTCACAAGTTCCTGGTGACACCGACACTGCTGGTCTGCACACTTAGAGGTTGGAGGGTCAGCGTGCAGTTCTGTCTTTCTCTGTGGAGATAGGAGAGACGGACATTTCATCTGCCCTTCCTGGAGCATTCCTTGATGAAGTGCTACTAGCTTCTTTGCAGGAAGCCAGCTTTAGTCTCCACAGTAGAAGGTGGCCAAGATCCCAAGAACTTCTCAGAAATCCATCCTGGAATGATACTCATTGGTTTCGTGAAGAGCATCAAGGACTATGGTGTGTTCATCCAGTTCCCCTCGGGTCTTAGTGGACTGGCCCCCAAAGCTGTAAGTTCTGCTCCATGTACAAGGGCCTCTGAGGAGAGACAGCAGGGTGGTGGTATCTGAGGGTGGGTTGGAAGGAGCCGCAAGCCAGGCCATGCTCCTTGTGCCAAGCTGCGTGAGATCCTGGAGAAAGGGGCATCTTTTCTGCTTCACACTGTGGCATTGGGTAGGTGGGTGGTGGCCCTGAAGACTTTAGGCTCCAGTGTGATGACTGAACTTGTTTTTATACTCAGCATGTTTAGACATGGAAATTGGTTTTCCTGAGCAGCCGAGTACAAGTTTTGCAGCCTTCTGGGTTATTTTTGTTTTTGTTTTTTTGGTCCTTGAAACTATTATTCTCCCCTCCATGTCATTGAATCATAAACTTTCCAGACCGGAAAACATCCTAGCAATCCCATGGTTGAGCCCCCTCATCAGCCTGCTGAATAAACTGAGGCCTAGAGAAGGGAGGAGACTTGCCAAAGTCAGTATAAGATGATGCTGAGCAAACAGTGTATAGCTAATTCCTTCCACAGATCATTCAGAAATAGGGCTGGCTGGCTGATGTTTTGCCTGGGAAAATCTCATTTGCATCCCCTGCCAGAAAAATTTTTAAATGAGATCAAAGGGGAGAGCCCCAGATACATGCTTAGTGAAGGACAGAGGGTTGCCATTGTGTGTTAAGGACAGCCCTGGTGTCCCTTTGGCTTGCCAGTAATGTCCCTTCTTGGCTGGGTGCCCTCTCACAAGGCTGGATTGGGCAGCCAGGGCCTCTGTGTATTTTTTTGGAAGTGGAGTAGAGCTGTGCTCAGAGAAGGCTGGTGGAGCTTCCTGGGTCCTGTTGCCCCTCCATCCACACACTCCTATTTGACAAATTATCTTAATGAAGACTTCCTTTTCTTTCCCCATTTTCTGCTCACTGTTTTCTTCAGATCATGAGTGACAAATTCGTGACCTCCACAAGTGACCACTTCATTGAGGGGCAGACAGTGGTTGCGAAGGTGACCAGTGTGGATGAGGAGAAGCAGCGGATGCTGCTGTCACTGCGGCTTTCGGACTGTGCTCTGGGGGACTTGGCCACCACCAGCCTCCTCCTCCTGAGCCAGTGCCTGGAGGAGCTGCAGGGTGTGCGCAGCCTCATGAGCAACCGAGGTGGGGTGCCTGGGGCCCTATTAGGAGGGGCAGGAGGGCAGAGAATGACTGGGGGGAGTGGTGAGTGCCTTGTAAGTTATACCTGTTGCTAGGATGAGTTGTTGGACTTCTCAGAATGTAAAAAAAAAATTTGGTAAAGTTTGTTTTTTAATGGGAGTAAGACCTACATAAAGCATACAAATCATTAAGTATATAGCTCAGTCAATGTTTATAAAATGAACACCTCTGTTTACTACCCAGATTAAGGTAAAGGTCATTACAAGTATCCTGGAAGTCACCCTAGTTCCCCCTGGGAGTCCAGAATCAAAATTTTCCTTGTTTTTAGGGCCTCATGCTTGGATTTGTTGTGAATTTATTCACCTCTTCAGTTTTCAGTCCTTTGTTCAGCAGCTATATACTGTATGGTAGATGGAACAGGGACTGCTAGATTTCCTGAAGGGTTATTATTCCGACCCTATTAGAGTGTGAACCATTGTGTAAGATTGTTGGAACCCTAATGTGATTTGGGAGCATCAGGTTTGACGGGGAGAAGGAAAATTCAGAAACCAAAGGAAAACCTGTGTTCCTGGTTTTGCTGGCTATTTTCATGAATTATGGTCAGGTAGATTAGCAAAGGACTCAGGTCTCTGCCTGTGACAAGAGTTTTCATGGATACTGGACATTTTTGCAAAAGGTGATTTTACCTTGTCAATGGCTTAAATGTGCCACTGTCCTCTGTGGTCACAGCACACTTGCAGAGGAAAAGAATGGGTATAGTGTTTTGTGGTACTACTTCCTGCTTCCTTTGGGTCTCTGGCAGACTCTGTGTTGCACCAGACGCTGGCTGAGATGACCCCAGGAATGTTCCTTGACCTGGCAGTGCAGGAGGTGTTGGAAAATGGTTCTGTGGTGTTCAGTGGGGGCCCAGTGCCTGGCCTGGTCCTGAGAGCCAGCAGATATCATCGGGCAGGTGAGTGCTTCTGTCTCGCCCACTGTGGTTGGTGGGGGATACCCTTTGCCCATTGTTCCCTCTCCTGGATACAGAATTTCCAAATACATAGGGTAGATGAGTTGATTCAGTAGAAATTTTTGTTGTTTGCCTATCTTGTGTGAATGCAAAACAAGACAATTGATAGCATACTAAAGAAGGGTTAGGCGTGAATCTTTTAGTTGTTATAATGGGGTAAATCTAGATTTTTATAAATTAGGTTTATAAATTAAGGTCCACCTGAACTTGAACTATGGGAGATAGACCCTTGGTTTCCCTAACTGTGGCCCATGTAGACCCAGGACATGTGTCCTCTTTCCTTATTCGGGTCTAAGGGATAGCACCTGCACCCAGGAGAGGTTGTGTCCTCCATTCACCCTGTTCCAGGAGGATGATCACGCTGTGTTTGTTTCTGTACTGCAGGGCAGAAGGTGGAAGCTGGGCAGAAAAAGAAGGTCGTAATCTTACATGTTGATATGTTGAAGTTGGAAGTGCATGTTTCTCTTCGCCAGAACTTGGTGAATAGAAAAGCTAAAACGGTAAGCTTGCTGCTCATGACTCTCATTTCCACAGTTTCATAGTGCATAACCCTTCAACACCACACTCTGCTCAGGGCTTCCAACTCAGGTACCTTCAGGGAGGTGACCGCATGCCTAGATTTGTCCAGCACATTCCTGGTTTTTACCTCTTATTCTGGTGTGGTTAATAGTGGTGACTTTCGCTCCAGTTTAGGTGATAAATTATATAGTCACCCTATCTTTCCAAACTAGTATTCTTACCAAACTGGTAAGATAAATGAGTGAAGTGGGCCAGGCAGGTTAGGGAGTGGGAGGGCTAGGACTCTGACAAGCAGGAGAACGCTGCCCAGCTGCACCGAACAGGGACTCTTTAGCTCCCTCCAGTTGTTGCCAGGTGGGAATATGTGGGGCTAGTGTTGCTAAGTCTTTGATTTTTCAGAGAAGGCTAAATTTGGATTTTTATTTGAAATAAGTGTTGAAAATGTTGGAAACTAATTGAAAAAAACAAAAACAAAAAAACATCGTATGAACCAAATGAAATATGTCTGTGGGCAGTTTGTATTTCTAGGCTGCACATGCACACCCTCTCCTGTCTTGTCTCCTGTATGCTTTTGTGTGACAGAAGAATGGGTTTGAGGGAAATCTCAAGATTAGTAGTATTTTTCTCTGGGTGATGAATATATTTGGTATTGTCTGAAGCACTGATTTAAGTACCTAATTGCAGAGTAAAGTTCAAAGAATTATATAGAGATAATCCTTAACCTCTAGTTGCTTGTAATTTTAAGACTTTAAGAGAGAGAGAGAGAGAGAATAAGAAGCAATACTAACCCTGCTAGTTTTCTAGCAGGACCTATGCCATTTTGTCATCTAAGTGAAACTTGGGCATATAAGAGCATGAGCACAATTTGCGTTTTGAGGTAAGAAAGGCTAGGTGCCTTGCACACAGTAAGCTCTCAGTAATGCCTTTATTTGTTGAATGACTGAAGGAGTGAATAAATTGGGTGGAGGGCTGTAGTACCAAGAGTCAAAGACCACGTCTTTAAGCTGGAGAGCCATGAGAGGTTGCCTGACTGTGCGTCAGAATCAATTAAATAACTTTTTAAATTCAGATTCGTTTGTTCTAGGATAGGGCCTAGGAATCTGAATTCAAAACACAACAGAAGCTGAGTTGAGGTGATTCTGCTGAGGCACCATGAGTTTAGTCAAGCTACCTTGATGTACTGCGAGGAAAGCTAGGTCCAGGGAGCAAGGGCTGGTTTATTACACCTCAGACTAGCCTTGGGTCCCTTGGACTCCAGAGGGTTTCCACAGCCCCCGCTGGCCAGTGGGGTCATGAATGAGTGATCATGCTCTGGAAGGAAAATGGTGGTGGTGGATTTTCTCTCTTTTCCAGTTGAAGAAAGGCAGTGAACACCAGGCGATTGTGCAGCACTTGGAAGAGTCCTTTGCTGTTGCCTCCTTGGTAGAGACCGGCCACCTGGTAGCTTTCTCTCTGACCTCTCATCTTAATGACACCTTTCGCTTTGACTCGGAGAAGTTACACGTGGGACAGGGTGTCTCCCTAACCCTCAAGACCACAGAACCTGGAATGACTGGTCTTCTTTTGGCTGTTGAGGGGCCAGCTGCTAAGAGGACCATGAGACAGACTCGGAAGGACTCTGAGACAGTTGATGAGGATGAGGAAGTGGATCCAGCTCTGGCTGTAGGGACTGTAAAGAAGCACACCCTGTCCATCGGGGACATAGTCACCGGGACTATCAAGTCCGTTAAGCCCACCCATGTGGTTGTGACCTTGGAAGATGGCATCATTGGCTGTATCCATGCCTCCCACATTCTAGATGATGTTCCAGTGGGCACCTCTCCTACGACCAAGCTGAAAGTTGGGAAGACAGTCACTGCCCGAGTGATTGGCGGGCGAGACATGAAGACATTCAAGTATGGAGGCTTTGGGGGATGGGCCGGCTTTGTGGAGAGGTTGTCATAATTGTGGGAGGAGGAGTGGGAACGTAGGCAGTTTCCAAAAGTTGCATGTAAGTCAGATTCTCTTTCGGTTAACAAAAGGCATTCACCAAAGAATCCTTTTGTGTGGTGTTTTAGACACACATGAAATATAGTGTAATGGTTAAGAGCATGGGTGTAGAGTTAGACCTGAGTTTGAATTCCAGATTGACTGTGATCAAGTGCTAGTTGATACTAATTCTCTGAATTTTATTTTCCTAATCTGTCAAGTGAAATTAATGGTAGTGAGTACGTCTTAGGGCCGTTGTGAAGACTGCAAGAGAGAACACATAGTGTGTTAATGTGCCCAGCAATTCACTTGGCTCGTGGTTATTGCTCAATATACATCAGCAGCTATAATCCATTCTCCACCACACACCTTAATTATACTCACTTTAAATGTAATTACAACACTTGTCATTGTAGCAAAAATTCTTTCTATAACAAGAAGAGCAAAAAGAGTTCAATGTCTGGCCAAAATTTGCCCATTAATTTTAGTAACTAACTGTGGGATCTTCAGTAAGTCATCTATCCCGTCTAGACCTCAGTTTCCCCATACGTAGAATGAAAGAGTTGAGGTATATATAGTCTGTAAGGAAAATTCTTTTCAGAGTCTGGTATGACAGTCCTAAAATCTTAAAAGTCCACGTGAGCCAGCTCCTTACCACTTCCTGCCCTCAGCCTGACACAGCTCCCACCGGTGGTGGTGTGACAGTGCAACAGGCTGGTTTTGTAGGCTTGGTTTGTGGTAGAATGGAGAGAAATCCCAATCTCCAGATAACTGTATTACAGAGAATAAGAGAAATAATTTTTGTTTCTCCAGGTTTCTCCCAATAAGTCACCCCAGATTTATTCGAACCATCCCGGAGCTGAGCGTTCGGCCAAGGTGAGGGGGACTCTAGCAGCATGGTCTCATGGAAAGAGCACTAGGCTTTGCACTCAGGACTCCTGAGTTTAGTCTTGATTCTGCCAGTTAGGACTTATTTTGCCTTTCTCTGTCCAAGTTATCTTATTTCTCTAGTAGGGATCTTTGGCCCTCCTAGGGCTAGGTAGAGAGATTATATGAAAATTAACGTGGAAGCTGTATACAGTGTTTAAGCATCAATTTAGAGTTGACCAGTTAGCTGAGTTGGTTAGATGGTGGCGCTGATAACACCAAGGTCCAGGGTTGGATTCCTGTACCAGCCAGCTGCCAAACAAAGTATCAATTTAAAGGTTGATTGCAGTTCTGTTTGTCAGTATCTAACAAAAAGAAGCAGTTTTGCTCTTAACCTCATTTTCTAGAACTTGGTAATTCCCTAAATAAACAGCATGTAGCTCAGAATGCCTGTTCTTTCAGTGTGAACTCCTGCTTTGTGACTAGAAGCTAGCCGAGCTGGTATTTTAGGTTGTGCTGTGGTGGATTCTGCAGAGAGGAGTGTCTCATGAGAGATTCTGGGGGAGGAGAATTAGTACTTCCATGTTGTGGTGAACCCAGTTTGTCTGGGATCATTTTTTTAGAGGATCTTAAGCATTTTGCTCTAAGGGCCTTTCTGCTTCTCCCTCAATAAAAGAGCCCAACCTCTCGGAATCAATAGACCATTAGGAAATGAAGCCAGATACTCTTGAGCGTGAGAAAGGCTCTGTAGGGTCAGCCCTGGGGTCTGTTCAGGTTGTAGGTCTTATGCACATAGAGGTGTTATGGAAAGACCTCCAAAGTAACTTTGAGGGTAAGGTCTGGTCAACATCCTGAAGCAATCACAACAGAAGTGTAATATTTGTAGGAAGGCTTGTGTCTGAGATAGGAAGATATTCCTGGAACATTGAGTTCCAGATGCTAACACTTCTTATGGAACTTCGAAGTAAGCCCTTTGTGTCCCCCTCCAGTCTCTGTTGTGGAATGAAGAGACCTCATCATATTAGTTGTTTTAGTCTGCAGTATTATTTCTCTGAGGTGTGTTGTCTTGTTTTGAGTAAACCCTTATCTAGGGTTGAGGTCGAGTAGTTTATTCAGACTAAGGGTAGATAATTTAAGTTAACGACGCTGCAGGGGGTGAGTCAGCGAATTCTGTGGGAAGTCCCACCATGATCCTAAGTGGTTCTCGATCCTCAGCATGCTAAGGATCGCTCCTTAACACTGCTGTTGTTGTTCTACCCTCCTATAGTAGGAACCAGAGTGGACCGCACCAGGAAGTGGATGGATTTATTGACGGGATGGGAGATGTAGAGTTATAATGACAGACAGACAGATGGAGACAAATCACAAGACATCTTCCACCCCCTCCATGCAGCTGTGTTGTGTTGTTCCTTATTTTAATTTAATCACAAGGCCCTTGAGAAACATAAGCAATAGTGATATTTCTCTAGTACTTTTGTTTTAAAATAAATATATTGAAGTCAGGATAAAAATCATTTAATTGATGGTTTTGACCTAATTGAGGAAATGTAGTCTTATTTTTATTTCCCGCTTATGTATGGGAATCTTGTGTACAATGAGAATGCCATCTGTACTAGGGCTGAGGACAGAGTTGCTGAGGGTCTCTTCCTACACAGTTACTCTTGTGGAGGGCCGGTAGTAAAGAGAGCAAAGTGATTGAAAGGAGTCTTAAAACATCTCTGGAGTTCTTGGGAGTCAGTGAGTTTTCTCTTAGTGCTAATTCAGTTATGCCAGCCCTTCTTTTTTGGGAGGTTACTCTTTTTGGAGAGGCAATTTAAAATCATTTTGGGAAAAGAAAAAAGGATAACACATAACCCGTTTGTGTGTTGTTTTGTTTTGCCTAGCTTAAATAGCAGAAATTTATTTTCTCAGTTCTGAAGGCTGAAGTCTGAGATCAAGGTGTCGGCAGGGTTTGTTTTTTGAGGCCTCTCTCCTTGGCTTGCAGAAGGCTGTCTTCTCCCCTTGTCTTCACGTGATCTTCACTTTATATGTATCTATGTCCTAATCTCTCCTTTTCTTATTGTGGTTAAAAAATACATAACATAAATTTACCCGCTTAACAATTTTCAAGTGTGCATCACAGTGTTGTTAACTACATGTTCTGCTGAAGAACAAATGTCTAGAACTTCTTCCTTTTACACGACTGAAATTCTATACCAGTTGAACAACTCCCGGTTTTCTCCCCCCCCCCAGTAGAACCATCGTTCTACTTTCAGTCTCTCTGTATTTGCCTACTCTAGGTACCTCATAAGTAGAATCATACAGGATTTGTCTTTTTGTGATTGACTTATTTCACTTAGCATAATGTCCTCAAGGATCACTCATGTTATATGACAAGATTTCCTTCTGTTTTAAAGGCTGAATAATATTCTAATGAATGTTTATACTACTTTTTCTATTTTTGGAGGCTGGCCAGTACAGGGATTGAACTCTGGACCTTGGTGTTACTAGCACCATACTTTAACTAACTGAGCCTAACGTACTAGCCCTATACTACGTTTTTTAATCCATTAATTCACTGATGGACGTTTAGGTTGCTTCACATCTTGGCTATTGTGAATAGTGCTGCATTGAACCTGGGTATGCATATATCTCTTTGAGGTCCAGTTTTAATTCTTTTGAGTATATACTTATATGTGGGATTGCTGGATCATGTGGTTGTTCTATTTTTAAATTTTTGAGGAACTTCCATACTTTTTTCCATAACAGCTGTACCAGTTTACAGTCCCAGCACTGAGCAAGGGTTCTAGTTTCTCCCTCCACATCCTTGCCAATACTTCTTATTTTCTGTTTTTTATATAGTGGCCGTCCTAATGGTGGTGAGGTGATATGTCATTGTGCTTTTAATTTACATTTTTCTGATGATTAGTAATGTTGAGCATCTTTTCATATGCTTGTTGGCCATTGGTATATCTTTTTTGGAGAAATGTCTATTCAAGTCCTTTGCTAATTTTTTAATTGGTTTTTCTTTTTTGTTGTTATTAAGTTGTAGCCTAATATTTTCTTTTTTTTTTTTTTGTCTTTTTCCGTGTCCGGCAACGGATCGCAACCCTCAGTGTTGCCCCCGTACCGGACCGGGGACCGGCAACGGGATCGCAACCCTCGGTGTTGCTCCCGCGCCTCGCTCAGCCAGTGAGCGGGAACCGGTCTGTATGTGGGATCCGAACCCTCGGGCAGGAGCGCCGCCGCGCTTCCCAAGCAGTGCACTATCCAGTGCGCCACCGGGCCGGCCCGTAGCCTAATATTTTCTTATGAGGACACCAGTCTTATTGAATTAAAGCTCACTTTGATGACCTCTTTAAAGACCCTATCTCCCAATACAGTCCTATTCTGAGGTACTGGGGGTTAGGACTTCAACATATGAATTTGGGTTGGAGGGACATGACTCAGCCCATAAGAGGGGCATTCTAGTGTCAGCTATTGAGTGAATAGTTTTTTCATCCTAACCATGTAAGCACTAGAAATAATGTATGTAAGTTGTGAATTATAGTGCCAGGCCTATAGATATTCCATATGTATGTTTTAAGAAGTAAAATTGTATGGATATGTTCTCTTCCCCAGGCATCTCTCTTGACCCCCAGAAGATGAATTCCCCATTATAAATTTGGTGTACTTATCCAGCTTGTGTTTTTATACTTTAATTATGCAGAAACATACTTGTATATATGTGTATATTTGTATATCTACAAATAATTACTTTATATGGCTTTTAAAATGTATGTAAACAGTATGCCATACTTAGTATTTTACAACTTTTTTTCATTCAGAATTTTGTTTCGAAGGGCCGGCCCAAGGCACACTTGGGAGAGCGTGGTGCTGACAACACCAAATCAAGGGTTAGGATCCCCTTACCAGTCATTTAAAAAAAAAAAAAAAAGAATTTTGTTTTGAGATCTGTTTTTGTGTCTGTAGTTAAAATAGTAATCCATCCTGTGAATGTGCCAAACTACAAATATTCTCAAACTTATGGAGGACATCTGGGGTTGTTTCCAGTTTTTCTCTTCTGTAAGAAATATCACAATGAACAACCTTGAATTTGTTCCATTGTGCATACGTGTAAGGATTTCTCTGTGGTAGAATTACTGGGTCATAGGATATATGCGTTTTCAACTTTACTAGTGTAGGAAAGTTCCCATTTTCTGCATTCCCCAGCACTTGCTATTGTATTTTACAATTTTACCAGCATTTCTTGTACCATTTTATCCATGAGTTATGTTTCGTTTTGTTTTAGAAATTATTTGAATTTGTAAGCAGGGGTTGCAGTTCTGTGATTCTTTTGAAGCGCTTTATGGACAGACTTTCAGATCTCATTCCCTTGTTGCTTTTCTGAGAAGAAAAAGAGAATCAAGAAAATGATAATGGCAGGGAAGCATAGGGGACTGAGCCCTGGATTTTTGAGTCAAAAGCCCTGGCTTCAACTCCTGGTTCAATAGTATAAAATGGGTTTAATAATATCTACCCTGCCAAATTTACACATGACATTGTTGTCAAATTCAGTGGGAGATTATTTGTGAAAGCAGTTTTGCAAAGTAAACCAATAGCTAAAGTATTAAGAAAGAAGTAAACGTTTTGTTTCCTAAATTAATCAGGATTATTGTGGGCTACTACTTTGCAGCTTGCTCATACCTAGATGAGTGAAATGGGAAAGATTAGCCCTCAGGCCAGTATCATGAACATTCTCCTTGAAGGAGAGAAATGGGGCTGTGGAGGGTGGGTATGAGTAGGGCAGTCCTGTACAGTCACTTGGGGAAATGGTTTCAAACTAGAAGCCTTATTCAGAGGTTGGTTTACTCTTTCCATTGCCTTTCTACAAACAGTGAATTGGAGAAGGATGGCTACACTGCTCTTAACACTCACTCTGTTAGCCCCATGGAGAAGATCAAACAGTACCAGGCTGGTCAGACTGTGACTTGCTTCTTAAAGAGGGTGAGTAGCTGCTGTACTGCAATGTGATGCCAGCCTTTCCAAAGAAAAGGGGGTGAAACTAGAGAAAAAGGCCATTAGCACTGAGCATTTGATCCTGTATTTGCTACCATGCTGGGTTTGTGAGAGACGATACATGGCTTTTGCTTCCAGAAAACTTCTGGTCTGATCAGGGCACTAAAATATGGCTTACGAAACAATTAGCAAGCAGCCCACAGTTCAACATTTATAGATTAATTGTATAAATGGAAAGAAAAATACATCATAGGACAAGATTTAAAATAAATGCCATACTGGATTTTAGATTGTTGCTTTTTATAAGGTTTAGGTGCAGTACAAAACAGTATGTAATCGGGAGTCAGATTATGTGTTCTAATCCCATGTGGAACAGGAGTTCAGAACGGGAAGAGATCAGTGTGAGACCTGTACTAACTGGACCCTTTGGGGGAGGAAGTTGGATTGGGTTTGACCTCGAGGGAACACCCCTTCATTGTTGCCAGATTCCTCCTCCACGAGCATCTCTCTGAGCATGTCGCTGACGCTTGATCCCTTTAGTTACCTATTGTCTATAGACATTCATAAACCCCAGTTGCTTTAGAGTGGCATATAAGGCTTGTCATAATCTGATCTCATGAACTTTGTGTACCAGTCACTCTGATAACCTCCTCTACCTTTTTTCCTTCCTGTCTTTATTCATGCTGGTTTCTACATCTGCAGTACCCTCTTTTCCTATTGCCTGTTACCCTTCAAGATTCAGCATGGATAATCTTCCCTTATTACTACTTCTCCTATATACTCCTGTGGCAGATTTTACTTCCTACACGTTGCTTGCTGCTATAGTTATTTGCAGGCTGGTTTGAGTTACTACTTGTAGAATATAATTTCTTTGAAGTCAGGGCCTGGCTTTTATTTATCACTATGATGCCTTGAAAATCAGGGTGTATATTTAGGGCAGGACACTGTAAACAGTGAAGGATCAAAATCTAAATTGGTTTAGAAATAAGGTGTTGGTCCCTGGAGATGATTAACAACCTCTGGGCACAGCTGAGCTTGGAGGAAGCTACAGAGGTCTGTGAGATTGTTCCTCCTGCTTAAGGACATCTCCAAGTTCTTTTTTTGTCTCCTGATCTGTTGAGACACCTGGAGGGACGCATGTTCTGCCGGGCTAGCAAAGGCTCTGAGCCAGATTCTGAGTGAAGCCTTTGAGAAGTGGAGGTTGGGCAGGGGAAGTGGGTACAGGGGTGGATTCCTGTCCCTTGGAAAAATGTGGAATTAGGGCGCTTTCAGCCTTGTGGTTTTAGGAGAGAGCTTTCTGTTTTAATGGAGGGAGAAGAAAGGTTGCTTGTATCTGCCTTACTCCATTTCTCCTGTTTTTCTCCCCCAGTACAATGTGGTTAAGAAATGGCTTGAGGTGGAGATTGCACCGGATGTCCGAGGGAGAATTCCCTTGTTGCTCACTTCTCTCAGCTTCAAGGTCAGTGTGCTTGAGATCCCTGAGAGGAGACCCAGGCTCCCTAAGCTCGACTCAGTGTCTGGTGTATGTGTGTGTTCACAGTGGGTACAAGGCACCCTGTGCTTATTTAGGGATTGGTTTGGGAGATACTTGCTATGGAGACTTAAATGCTATGATATTGGATAAATGACAGACTTTTCTTCAAGCATCAGAGAACTTTTCTTATTCTTTCAGGTTCTGAAGCATCCAGATAAGAAGTTCCAGATTGGCCAGGCCCTGAGGGCCACTGTGGTGGGGCCAGATTCCTCCAAGGCCTTCTTATGTCTCTCACTCATAGGTGTGGGGATGAAACAGTGCTGGAGGAGGGAAGGGGTCTTCAGTTATTGCCCAGGCTGAAGGATGCCTTCAGTGTTAGAATCCTCAGAAAGCCTGGTGTGGTCCCTTCTGGGAGCAGAAGCCCCTCTTGGGGCTTTGCTCTCTGGCCTGTGTTACTTCACTACTGTCTGAGTTGCTTTTACGCACAATTGGTTTTCTTAAGTCCCTCAGAAAGGGTTGTCCACCAGATGGCCCTGGATTCTTGGCTGCATGGCTTGGGGAGCTAAGTCTTCATGATCACTCTGGTCCACTCAGCCTGGGCACCCCACATCTGGGCAGTCTCTACCTTCAGTGTGGGGTTGGCCGGCATTCAGTTTCTTTCTTGGCTCATTGCCTCTTCCTTGAGTCAGGTTTGTTCTCCCACCAGGTCCTCACAAGCTTGAGAAAGGGGAAGTGGCCATGGGCCGGGTGGTGAAGGTGACTCCCAATGAAGGGCTGACTGTCTCCTTCCCCTTTGGGAAGATGGGAAGAGTCAGTGTATTTCATGTGAGTGACTCCTACTCTGAGAGGCCCCTGGAGGACTTTGTCCCCCAGAAGGTTGTCCGGTAAGCCCTTTTTGATCTTTTCACCTATCTGTGGAATTGGTGGATCTTTTTTTATTTTTATTTTTTATCTTCTGTTTGTTTAAAGATGACCAGTAAGGGGATCTTAACCCTTGACTTGGTGTTGTCAGCACCATGCTCTCCCAAGTGAGCTAACCGGCCATCCCTACATAGGGATCCGAACTCCTGGGATGACCAGTAAGGGGATCTTAACCCTTGACTTGGTGTTGTCAGCACCATGCTCTCCCAAGTGAGCTAACCGGCCATCCCTACATAGGGATCCGAACTCCTGGTCTTGGTGTTATCAGCACCACACTCTCTCAAGTGATCCAGGCTGGCCCTGGATCTTTTTTTTAAATTGTAGAATTAATAAATGATTTTAAACCAGAAAAAGCAAGTGTATAAAATAAAAAATGAAAATTTCTATCACTCCTCTCTGTCTACCACTTTTTGCCATTATATACTTTGGTTTCTATCTTTCCAGACTTTAACACATATTTTAGTATAACTTTCCTTTATATAATAGAATTTCTTTTTATATACTGTCCTACAGCTTGCATTTTTCTCAAGGCACTTTATCACGGACTTTTCCTTTTCTATGCTAATATACCGTGTTCTTTTACCTTACTTTTAACATTTATTTAGTATTCCATTGTGTTTTTTATGAAAATTTATTTAACCAGTTCTCTGCTGGTAGACAATAATCATGCTAATATACCGTGTTCTTTTACCTTATTTTTAACATTTATTGAGTATTCCATTGTGTTTTTTATGAAAATTTATTTAACCAGTTCTCTGCTGGTAGACAATAATGTTGAAGCCACCAGCACCTGCTGAAATCCTTAGCCACTTATCAGAGCTAAACAGCACAAAAATGTCTAGGGCCTGGGAGAAAAGAAGGAGTCCTAGAGACATCTAGGATCATCTCCGGTTTGTCTCTAGAGGCTTATAAAATGAGGTGGTGGTTTTTAGCAAAGTATTTTAAATATGTTTATTATAGCCAAACCAATAAGTGGCATTAAGTTGCAATTACTTCATCTGTCATATGTGGGTAATAAATTACTTGCCTAAAGGTAGACAATCTCTTGAGGTCCTTCCTGTCCAGCTCTCCTGGCTATGATGCCATTGTTATAAAAGGCAGACGTCTGTGGGAAGAATTTGGATTGTGTTGTACCTGAGATCCTTTGTACCTCTAAGATTCTATGCTTTTAAATTACAACTGGACTACTAAAATTGCCACTTTAGATGAAATAAGTTTGGAAACCCAACAAAAGAGTCAACCCTGCTTTCCCTCCTTGTAGCCTCACCTGCCAAGGCTTCAGTGATCTGCCTCCTGAATTGCTGTTGTGTGTCTCCAGCAATACCTAGGTTATCCCTTGGTCATGGTTTCCTGTGACCAACAGATAACCTAGGTTAGTCTGTCTTTCCACGGAGATCAGACACTTAGGACCTAACATAGAGCTGGTCTCATCTCTTAAATACACACTATATGGCTCTGTGAGCTTTCCAGAGGGCTCGTGTGTCTCCTCTTGTTTTCTTTTCCCAACACCTTGTTGGGTAAGAAGAGTAGGTAGTGTTATTTTTACTTGAAAGACTAGTAAACTGAGGCCCAGAGAGGTGGCACGACATGTCCAGCGTCCTGCAGCAGGTTTTTGACAGAATGAAGAAACCGAACCCAGGTTGCATGTCTCCTCACTCTTGCCTGTTGGTCAGACTTGCGGAGAGGAACTGAGGCCCTCTGCCGTCTCTAGAGATGCTCAAAATTGAGTATCTCCTCTTTTGCACCCATTCCAGATGTTATGTCCTGTCCACTGCAGACCATGTATTGACCCTGTCGCTGCGAGCGTCCAGGTGGGTATCTGTGTTGCTGCGATGAGAAGGGAGAACTCACTCAGAGGTCCAGCGGGAGGCTACATGTATCCCACACCTTCCTTCTCTGCTCATCCACTTCATACCTGAACCACTTTTGTGTAGAAAAGCTGGGGACATGCAGTTTGCTAAAAGTACCCTGTCTGCTTAGGCTCTTGTTTACCAGGGAGAGGTTCCAACATCCAAATGTGAGTGTCCACAATTGCAAGATGGTGGTCCTGGTGAGAGGAGATGATTTAGCTCCTAGGGTTCCATAGTAGGGGTGGGTGGCATGACAGGGATTGACCTGAGATCAGTTTGCTGCATGGTTAGAAATGGATGTCTGTAAGGCCAAGTCTTTAGGTTCGACCTGTCTCTGGCTTGGTCAGTCTCTATTTCTGCATAACTGGCTTACAGACACATGCCCTGGCCTGATAGGACTTCAGGAAAGAATAGGATTGGGCTCTGAAGGTTATATCCTACTGACAGATCCAGAGTAGTGTTCTTACATAGAAAATATAATTATTACAGGTGTAATCTGGGCGAGGTAGGGGAAAGGGGAATTAAAAGTGTATGTAAGCAAGCCTTTTATTCCTTTAGAACAAACCCAGAGACGAAAAGCAGAATAGAAGATCCGGAGGTTAACTCCATCCAGGACATAAAGGAAGGGCAGCTCCTGCGGGGCTACGTGAGGTCCATCGAGCTGGATGGTGTGTTGTTTGGGTGAGTGAGGTGGGGCCTTGGGGCCTGGACCCAGACCTGAGTACCTTCCCTGGGCCTGTCATGGTCTGGGATCTGCTGCATTCCTCAGTCTATATCTTTGATGAGAATATGAAGGAAGGAGAGTTTATGAATTCCCACCAGTTTTAAGAATTCCAAATTTTTTATACTTTAAAAAATGTTTTGAATTGTTATTTCTTGTTTTGGACAATAATATGGCATGGGCAATTTGAGTTTTAAATAAATTTGGATGTCCTTTGATTTAGCATTTGATCATGGTTTTAAATGTTCTATGAAATCACATCATGTTCACAAACAGATACTGCAGCCTTCCCTGCTGTTAAGTTTCCTCATCTCCTCCTTGTCTTTCTAGCAGTTTGTGATTTATATGTTGTGATGCTATGCTGTGGGATAAAAAATATCCTCAGTCATATCTTCATTGTGCTTGATAGTTTTTTCCAGTTTACAAAGCCCACTTTATCCTGCTGAATGCCAGGAACTTACAGCTGTCAAAAATCCTTGTCACAACTTTGGTCCCTGTGAAAGTGGAGTCATTAGGCGTGACTGAATTCTGTTATATTTATGACTGCAGGACTCTTGTCTCTCTCCTTTCAGCCTTGGCTCCTCGGTTGTGGGTTTGGCCCAGTACCCACATGTCTCCCAGTACAGCCCATCCAAGAAAGCCCTTTATAACAAATACCTCCCTGAAGGGAAGCTGCTCACAGCCAAGGTCCTAAGGTAGGTGCCTTCTCCTCTCTCTTCTCTCTCTTCTCTGTCTCCTCTCTCTCTCTCTCTGATATGAATCAAACCCCTCTCTCTGGGAGCCCTGGGGGGAGATTTCAAGGTAAACTTATTTCAAACATAATGGCTCGGGTCGTGGTGAATGCAGTGTTCAGATGAATGAAGGGCCTTTGTTTGGAGACTTCTGCCTTGGCCCCTGAAAGCAGATATGGCAGCTTGTCTCTGCTTAAGCCCCTGTTGTCAGGGATGGAGGAGGAGGATGTCACAGCTGCCTCCTGTATTTTCTACTAAATGTGGTAAAATGTGCAAATAATTCCTGATAATACTGGATGCATTCCCAAGACAGGTGTGGCAGGGCCCAGAATTGTGGTCTGATGAGAGAGGGCCTGGCCTGCTTGGGGTACCCTGTGTTCCTTTATTTTGTCCTCACTTTCTGCCCTCCCTCCCACCCTGCCATAGCCTGGACCAGCAGAAGAACCTGGTAGAGCTGTCGTTCCTCCCCAGTGACACTGGGAAGCCGGATGTATTTCCTGCCTCCCTGGAACTGCCACTTGTAAAGCCGGAAGAGGGGAAAATAGAGACCAAGAAGAGAGACCAAAAAGGAAAAGAGGAGAAGAAGAAGAGTCAGAAAAGGAAAGAGCAGAAGAACCAGAAGGGGCAGGAGGAGGGGAAGCTGCGCAGCCAGGAGAGAGAAGCTCCCCAGCAGCCACAGATGAAGAGGCAGGGCAAGCGGGAGCGCCGGGAGTCGGGAAGTGAACAGGTAAGTCCCTCGCGGAGGATAGTGCCACGCCTCACCGATAAAAGTAGTGCTCCAGAAGCCAGCCGGGCACCTGCCTCACCTTTTCTCAGAGCGGAGCAGCGTGAGCGGGTGCCAGTGCCCGGTGGTGCGGGAGGAGCAGAGGGGAGGCTCCGCTGCCCGGGCTGCCAGAGGGAACTCCTGGGCATCTTCCCTTCTCATCTCAGGACAGAGGGAACAAGAAGCCAAAGAAAGCTGGCTCGTCAGAGGAGGACGACAGAAGGGTGGAAGTGTACTATCGGGAAGGAGAGGAGGAGGTAGAGGAGACGAGTGTGCCGCCCAAGGTGAGAGGCAACGTGGGGTGGAGGGAGCAAGCTGCCCTGGGGAGGGAGGTCCTTGCATTCCTCTCTGGGACCTGGCCTGTCTTCGGCCCCCTCTTTTACCTCATGTCTGGTACAAAATGAAAAGGAAGGGGGAGGGGAAAGGGGTGTTAGTTTCCTCAGTGGCTCCTCAGCTCCTTGAGGACAGGGGTCCTGTTTACCCATAGAGTAGGCTACATCAAATCAGTTCTAATGAGTGTTTATTGAGTGGAACTGAATTGGATTGCGGGGTGGGCAGATACAGAGGAGGCTTGGCCTTTCTGAACTTGCATCCTCTGCAAAATGAGAATAATACTTGGGCTGAGTAGACTGGGTATGGAAGGGCTTACACCTACCTGGACAGGGCTTCCCGGACTTTAGGTACTCATGTCCATCACTGTCACCCTCAGAATTTTGTCATGTCACTGTCCCAGTTCTACTATTAGTTTATATGTGTATGTAAAGTTTCCCTGGTGGGCTGGGGCGTAGCCTGGCCAGGGAGGAGAGGAAGTGTCTCTGGGTATGGTGGAAGTCATGTCCTCCGGGTGGGCTGTGGCTGGGAACGGAGGCAGCCTGTGCCAGGCGTTTTCCTCCATGATCCTCCAGGAGAAGCAGACCAAGCCAGCAGAAGCACCACGGCTGCAGCTGTCCTCAGGCTTTGTTTGGAACGTGGGGCTAGAATCTCTGACCCCGGCCTTGCCACCTCGAGGAGAGAGCTCAGACAGCGAGGAGGACGAGAAACCACACCAGGCCATGGTGCCATATTTTCCAGGGCTTTGTCCTTTTTACAGAGACCCCTTGGTGCCAGTCTCCTATGCTCTGTCCTAACCTGGGTATCTCTTCCGGGGTCGGGGCGGGGAGGGTGGTGGTCAGTCTCAAGCCAAGGAATATTTATAGAGCCCATGGACTGCCCTGCCAACCTGTCACTTCTACCACAGACCTCCCCAGGGTTTCAGGAGCAGATTACTCACTTATTTTTATGGCTTCCATAGCAGAAAAAGAAGAGCAAGAAGGAAAGGGAGTTGGAGAAACAGAAGGCAGAAAAAGAGCTGTCCCGCATCGAGGAGGCGCTGATGGACCCTGGGCGACAGCCAGAGTCAGCAGATGACTTTGACCGACTCGTGCTAAGCTCCCCCAACAGCTCCATCCTGTGGCTGCAATACATGGTTTTCCACCTGCAGGCCACGGAGATCGAGAAGGCCCGGGCCGTGGCCGAGAGGGCCCTGAAAACCATCTCCTTCAGGTCTAGGCTTTGTCACCTCGTGCTCTAGGGAGGGGCCTTAGACAGGGAGCATAGTGTCTCCCCAAGTTCTTGGCTTGCAGGGTTTGCCACCTGTGGGTCATTGCCTCCTCCGCGGGCCAACAGCACTTTGGGTGACTGCCACAAGGGGCTCGTGGTTTCCAGATTTTCTTTCACAGGTGTGGCCATCTGTGAAATAGAGCTGCTCATTTATATTTTATAGTCCTCTTTGCTGAAATAGCTAAGGATAACATTTGCAGGAGTCCTACACTTCAGTAAGGTACCCAGTGTGGCTGAAACCACTGTAGGCGGCCATTGCCAGGCAGAGAGTAGAGTTAGTTTTCTGAAGCCTAGTGAAGCAGGATCAGAGTCCTTTGCTTCATTCTCTTAGTTTGGAGAGTGAATCAGACCCAAGATTCTGCTCCTTCCAGCCCAAAGCTCAGGCCAGTTTGAGATTTGGTAGGCTTCTTTCCCAGAAATGGAGGCAGAAGCCAGGGGAGCCCTCAGACCTGTAGTCAGGGGGTAGGGGGCAGGGATTCCTGATGCTGCACTTGGAGGTGGGATCTGAGGACATGTCTGGAGCCTGAGGAGGAGGAAGTGGTTCATCAGTGTCCCTGGATGGGAGTGGGAGCTCATCAGGCTGACTTGATAGAGTTCACGTGCTGACTGCTCCCCTTCCAGAGAGGAGCAGGAGAAGCTGAACGTGTGGGTGGCACTGCTGAACCTAGAAAACATGTATGGCTCTCAGGAGTCCCTGACCAAGGTCTTTGAGCGGGCCGTGCAGTACAATGAGCCTCTCAAGGTCTTTCTCCATCTGGCTGACATCTACACCAAGTCAGAGAAATTCCAGGTAGGAGTCTGGGCCGGTGGCCAACTGCCAGAGAGTCCTCAGCCTCTCAGAAATGAACTCCTGGGGATCACAGTGGCAGCAGCCTCAGGGCAGAACTTCTGGTGCTGGGTCCAGTCCAGCCCCAGGTTGCTGGGTCCCAAGTTCCTCCTCTTCCAAGTGAGAGAAGCCATTTCCTCCCACCTCCACCTTAGGACTGCAGGGTGCAGGTGAGGGAAGTGAAGGGACAGTGGGCCCTGACGTGTATGGCATTATAGACATGAAGTGACATCCTGGCCCAGCATCTGCTTTTCTCTCCAGTTCCCTCTTGTCATTCTCACATTCTCTCTTCTAGTCTAGGACTTCCTTTTGGGGCAAGATTAGCAGGGACACTCCCCACCACTTGTGACTCCTTAAGGCGCTTTCCTCCCCTCTCCTCAAGTCTCTAGAATTAGGCCCAGTTAGTGATTTGGTGATAGCTTCTTATGAGCTGCCTGTCTCTCGTTGGCCCCATGCAGTATCACTCAGTCCTCAGCTTACCTCGTCTTTTTCCGCAGGAAGCTGGTGAACTCTACAACCGGATGCTGAAGCGTTTCCGCCAGGAGAAAGCTGTCTGGATCAAATATGGCGCCTTTCTCCTGCGGAGGGGCCAGGCTGGGGCCAGTCACCGCCTGCTGCAGCGTGCCCTCGAGTGCCTGCCTAAAAAGGAGCGTGAGTGCTCATTCCCAGTTCCTGAGCACATTAGCTCTCAGATATCTGGGAATGGGAGGTGGGGGTCTTCTCATCCAGGGATGGTGTTGCCTCTAAGTTAGGAAAGCCTGTGGAGGGTTCATAGGTCTCTGTTGATTATATGCTCATGAATATAACAATGCATGTTGCATTTCAAATGCTAAACTCCGATAGAGGAACAAAAGCAATCAGCACTACTTCTGTTGCGCCTGGGACCCACCCACCTCTTCTAGGTGCAGAGTAGGGTGTCTGCAGTGCCTATCTGTGTATTTGGCCCTAAACACACCCCACTGTCTTTTTTTGGTCTTTGTTTTGCCTGTCATACCTAGGCCTTGGGACCCATGAGCAGGGAGTCGGACACACCGTGTCCCTGCAGCTCATTGTGTTGTGGTGAGGGGATATGTCTGCTTGTTGTATCTCTGAGTTGTCCTCTCCTTGCAGATGTGGATGTGATTGCCAAGTTTGCCCAGCTTGAGTTCCAGCTGGGAGATGCAGAGCGGGCCAAAGCCATTTTTGAAAACACGCTGAGCATCTACCCAAAGCGCACAGATGTCTGGTCAGTCTACATTGACATGACCATCAAGCATGGCAGCCAGAAGGATGTCAGGTGAGAGAGGAAGACAGACTAAGGCTGGATTCCCAGGGATGGGTGGATGGGTGGTGAGTGTTGGCCAAGTGGGTGTTTTTTAGCTCCACAAAAGCTTCCATTATCCCCAGTTATCTTACTTGATTCAGAAAAACAGCTTTGACGTGACACCCCAAGTCTAATGACATTCACTTTTCCAACTTCTTTTTCTGTCTCAGGCCAGCCTCTGGTCTGTGTCTGGAACCACTGGTGGGAGGTAGCCAGGCTCCTAGCATGTGAGTCAGGAGATGTGGGTTTCCCTCATAATTAACACTGTGCCTGGCCCTCATTGTAGAGAACTTTCACAGGCATACTCTTACTTTTGTCCCCCGGCATCTCCATAAGGCAAGGAGGGTTAGGAAAGGGTAGACTGAGAGTAGAAAGAACAAATGTGTCGCCCAAGCCCTTCAGTGAGCTTTAAGCTCAGCTTTTCTCATAGATCCATACCTCATTGTGTGTCTCCATCCCAGTAGATCACATCTTGATCTACTGTGTGACTTTAGGCAAGTGGGTCCTTTAAACATCTCTTGTTGTCTTGTCTGTTCATCTGGAAAATGAGGGTGGTGGTGCCTTGTCTTCCCAGGACACCGTGGGAGTTTATAATGGTAGTAAAAACAAAGATAGAAGTGGGAGTGCTGGAATAGTATGGGGCCCTGGCTCCAGAGCCCGAGAGCAAGTGGGTGAGCGCTAGCCAGGAATCATATGGCTGGGACTGTAAGGCAAATGCCACACTGTTCTTCCTCTCAGGGACATCTTTGAGCGTGTCATTCATCTGAGCCTGGCCCCCAAGAGAATGAAGTTCTTCTTCAAGCGCTACCTAGACTATGAGAAGCAACATGGCACTGAGAAGGACGTGCAGGCAGTCAAGGCAAAGGCCCTGGAATACGTGGAGGCCAGGAGCTCAGTGCTGGAGGACTAGTGGCAGTGACTAGTGCCCCGCCAGACACTGTCAGCAGTGGGTTGGCCAGCCCCGCCTCAGGCGCCTGGGCACTTGGAAAACCCTGTTGCCGGAGGACTCTATTTAAGTGCTGCTTTTTCTGCAGCATCCTTTGAGTAATCCTGTCAGGATGAAGAATTTGAGATTACTTTTAATTCCTCTTTGCTCGTTTTGTTTTAAATGCCAGTTTTTTATGTCATCTTTTCCCTGAGGCTGCTGAGTGGTAGTAGGCAGCAGGCTCTCAGGCTCCCAGAAAAGCAAGTGTCGTCCCTCCTTCAGGGAGTTGCCAGGGGAGCAAGAGCAAAGGGGCCGACTCCTGAGGATCTTGTGGTCAGGATCGTACTTTGTCCCTGGCAGGCTCTCGGTCCAGCCAGAGGAGGGTGGTAGGATCCAGGGAACGGGCCCTCCACTAGATGTCAGAGTCTCAGGCATTGCCTCAGCTCAGCTAGTAACCTCTGCCCTTTGTGGAGTCTGTGAGGCCGGGACAAGAGACAGAGGCAGAGCCCAGAAGGGAGAATTGGGAAACCTGGGCTGCTGAGGAGAGTCAGAGGAGTGGCTTAAACTGCCCGATGCTGTCTCATCCCAGGCCCACCACAGCCAAGTTACCCAACCTCTCCAAATGTGGTGCATTCCAGAGTTCTTGGAGGCTGGCACAGACCCAGCTAGTTGAAGCCAGTTCTTTTTTGACTTGGTCCTATGGGAATTTAAAGTTTTCTCTGGCAGAGCCTTAAATATCCTGAGAGCTTTTCTGTGGGAAATGACTAAGTTGTATGCCAGGAAGGACAGGGACAAGGCCACTCCTTCAACCCCAAGAGCACCTCCTCCCCCAGCCATCATCTCACCCCACCAAAGCCCAGATCAAACTGCCAGGCTCGGCTCAGATGCCACCTCCAGGAAGCCTTCAAAGGCCTCTCTGGGAGCGATCTTGCCTTTTCTGAATCCCCCGTGGCCCAATTCCTCTCATATCACTTTTTGCCTTGCTTTGAGATTGCCCATGTGCTTGAACCTCAGAAGGTTTTAGAGATGGTGAGTGGGATGTCCAGGGGTGGGGATGGAAGGAAGGAGAAGCTGGGAGTGGCCTGATTCTTGTTCTGTGCTATTGAGTGCAGGATCTCCTAACTCTTACAGTTTCAAACTGAATTTCCCTCTGAGAAAGGCCAGGCTCCATCTTTCCCCCATATCAAATCAGGTAATTAAGTCCAATTGCAAAGAGATCATCAGCCCCAGGGTCATTCCTGTGTGGGACACCTGCTGCTCCCTGTTCCACTGCGCCCTCTGAGAAAGGCCAGGCTCCATCTTTCCCCCATATCAAATCAGGTAATTAAGTCCAATTGCTAAGAGATCATCAGCCCCAGGGTCATTCCTGTGTGGGACACCTGCTGCTCCCTGTTCCACTGCCACATCTGCAATCCATTTTGGTCCTGTCCCCTTCCCTCCCACAGGGCATGGGATTTGAGCCTGTCTCCATGATCACCACCTTGCTGTGGCATGCCCCATTCAATCATGCACACACCAAGGTAGTCCTTTATAGTAAGAAAAGCTTTATCAAAAATATAAAATAAGGCCAGAGGCATACACTGGAGGGCAGCTTCGCAGCAGTGCACCACTGAGCTGGATGCCCCTATGCAGTTAGACACAAATTAACTGCACAATGTACTATACAAGGAGCTTGCTGGTAAGTTTCACTGTCACCTGGCCCTGCTGGCTGGGGCTTCCCAGCTTGGAATCTCACCAGTTTAAGAGATCACCTGTGTTATAGTTAAGGACCAGTTCTGGGAAGGTCTTTTCCTCAAAGCTGTTAACCAAGGGGTAGTAACAGGACAGGAGATTTCTTCAGGTCTGAGAGCTTTGTCAGAGCTGACCATGTTGTCTGTCAGATCTCTCTGCACCCCAGATTGCCTTGTGTCCTTTTGCCTGGCCTGTGTGCTCAAGAAGCTGTGGTATAAAAAATCCCCTTCTGATGCTGGTGCAAAGCAGGCAGTGGGTTCATTTTGGGACCAAGTAGTGCCATTTGCAAAGAGCTTGGGAAGCAGACCCTTAGGAGGCAAGCAAGGCCATCTCCACGTCAGGGGCCCTGCCGTTGCCTGTCAGGCCCTGGGCCCACTTGTGCAGGCGGCTGTAGAGTGGGAGGCCCTGGTTCTCACGGTACAAATAGACACCAGTAATGGCATTCCACTGTGGCCGTGGCTGTGTGCCTTCTACTGGGAACTTGGCAACCAGCTCCTCGTCTTCCTTGTTGAGTGCCACGAAGCCAAAGAAGCGGCGCACGTTGTTGGCAGCGAGCACACGCGAGTGCACCTCAGCTGTGTGCTGGAACAGCTGGTCCTCATTGGCGCGGTATTGCCCCCAGTAGGCCTCCTGGCGATAGCTGAGTGGTGAGCAGCAGTGCTTGAGGCACTTGGTCAGGAACACCAGGATGGCCACCACGCCGATGAGCAGCCATCCGAAGAGCTGACCAGAGAATGGGCAGGGTTCAGGAGGGGCAAGGAGCTGCCTGGGCCCCTGCCCACCCCAGGAAGAAGTGGAAGAGGGGGGTAGATTCTGCTTCTATGAGGGAAGCAGCCTCTTCTGTGATTCCACCTCTTTTTTCTTAGTCCCTTTAATTCACACATCTTCCCTGTTCTTTTACAATGCCTCCTGCTTTCTCTGCTGTCACTCCTTCACCCCAAGAGCACCACCTCCCCCAGCCATCATCTCACCCCACCAAAGCCCAGATCAAACTGCCAGGCTCGGCTCAGATGCCATCTCCAGGAAGCCTTCAAAGGCCTCTCTGGGAGCAATCTTGCCTTTTCTGAATCCTCCATGGCCCAGTTCCTCTCGTATCACTATTTGCCTTGCTTTGAGATTGCCCATGTGCTTGTCTCAGATGCTTGGATGTAAGCCTATTGAGGACGAGGACAGTCAAGGTCATCCTTGTTTCCCCATTCAATCTTGTACAGAGATCCGTGGGCATTTGATCAGAATCAAATGTTTTATTTCTTTGTCTACCATTTTTCCATCTCCAGGGCTATCTCCAGCCCTTTCTATGTCTACTTATGTTTCTCATGTACCCAAGAAAAGAAACCTTGAAAATCTTGTGCTCCTTCCTGTCTCCACCTCTTCTCTGCTGCTCTGATTTTCTGCTGCTGCCCAGTTCTCTGCCCTTTCCCTCTCTCCCCTGACCACCCTCCACTCCTTCAGAACTCAGTTAAGGCTGAAGCTAGGATCAGGGCAGCAACTGCCTCTTCCTGACTCAACACCCCATACTGGCCCAAGGGACACCCGGTATATAAGCAACACTTGGCGCCTGACTCGGTCTGAGCCTTCTGGGATAGCAATGTGTTCATCCCTGGGGCCAACCACACTCCACTGTCAACTGATGACCCCTAGCAAATGTTTCTGGAGTAGCTTACAGGAGTCTGGTTCAGTCTAGTGGGAGTAAGGGGCTTATCTGTGACTGGGATCAAGGCTCAGACTGAGCCAGAATAATATTCCTTTGATGTTTAAAACTCTTATTTGGGACTGGAATTGACCTTTGCCCTATCAAGCACTAACTCATAAGTTAACCAGCTCCAATACCTGACACTGATAAACCTCAGCCCCTGACGACCAACTCCAGTTTTAACACTGGGCCATCTTAGCACCTCCCACCAGCCACCACCTTGGAAGGAAAAAGAGCTTCCTTCACACAGCTCCTTACCTGGGACTCATACTTGAGCCTGCGGCTGACCTCCTCCCGGAATCCTGACAGATTGGTGGGGCCCTCCCCACAAGGGAACCTGGCCAGGATTTCAGTGGCATGGGCTGGTGGGAAGCCCTCCTCTCCGGCTGTGAGCGAGGAGGGGTCCACGAACTCGCTGAGAGCGCAGACATAAGCCTCACCGCGCAGCAGGGAGATGACGGACCAGGTAACGGGGGCCACAGCCGCGCGGCCCAGGATGGAGCTCAGAAGGAGGAAGTTGGGGGCAGCCGAGCAGTTCTTGGTTCTCCGGTACTGGCACTCGGTGACTAGGTTCCAGGTGTGGTTGTTGAGAATGATGCTGATGAGGAAGAGCGCCAGGGCGGGCACGCCGATGGCTGTCAGCCCATACAGGTAGTTCCGGGCCGGTGAGCAGGGGCAGTGGAAGGCCACCACAGAGAACAGCTCCTGGCTGCCCACTGTGCCCAGTGCCACCAGCCCGTTGAAAATCATCACATCCTTGCTCTTGAAGAAGAGTGACAGGAAGCGGAAGTTCTCTGCAATCAGGGCTGCCATGGTGACAAGTCAGCAGGAAAGGAAGCGGGAGGAGACGGGAGTGACAGATCCCAGTGGGATTAGGAAGGAGCACAGGCTGGTGAGCATCTGAAGACCGGACATGGTTGTGCCATTTTATCCCCTATGGTGGCTGGCCTGGTGCTTCCTGTGGAACAACAGACACTGATAAACGTTTGCCTCTGCAAATGGTGTTGGAGGAGGATGCTGTTGTAGCCAGGCTGGGGAGAAAGTAAGGAGCGCAGGGGCCCTGGGGAAATGATATTGGCCACTGTTCACTGAGTTCTTACTATGTGTCAGGTGCATTACATCTGCGGTTGCCCATCCCCACCATCCCTCGTTGAGCTATTATATCCCCACTGTGCACAAGAGAAGGTGGGGGCTTCCTGCAGGTCAGCGGCTTGCCAGGGTCACATTTAAGTGGCAGAGCTGAGATGCAAGCTCAGGTCTATCTGCTTCAAACACTTAGGTTCTTTTCGCTGCTACAATCTCTCGGGGTGTGGGTTAGGAATGGCTCAATGCTGTTGAGGGATGTGGGATGTAGACCTGCTTTGCCTCTGGAATTCCAGATGGTGCAAATGTGAGGGGTCTGGGACTACTTGGAGGTGTGTCCCCTGAACCTCTAGCGCCAGGGGTACAAAAGCTGCAATGGGTGTCCTGGTGGATAACAGACTTGGACTGGGTCCCGTGGGGTGGAGGCTAGGGGCCTTCCAGTCAGTGCAGCCTGATACAGCAAGACGCCAGCATCCCTGGAGTTCACAAGAACGTTTTCATTTTGGAGACTCAGGGCCTGGACTGGTTTAGGAGACTGGCTTTCAACATACTTCATGACTTTTCTCTGGACCTCAGTTTCCTCATCTGTGAGAAGAGGATAGATCTTTCTGGTCTTTGCTCTCTTCCTGGGTATGTTGGAGGGAAAAGAAAAGGAATTAATGATGCCTGGTGATTGTCCTATGAGTGAAATCCTCCGTCTCTTTCACCCCGTCGGATTTTCAGGGTGGGAATGATTCTCCTGCCTGCAAAGATCAGGAAACTAAGGCCCGAAGAGAAATAAAGTGCCTTGCTTGAATCTGAACAAATGCCAGATGCCTGGGCAGGACTTTTGACCATGACTAAGGCGCCTTGGGAAGTGGATGAGGGGGAGTCCGAGCAAAGTGAGCCCTCCCTTCACTCTGCCTCCTACTGACCTTGCTCCGTGTCCATCCACAAAAGGCCTGGGAACCTCTTCTTCCTCAGCCTGACCCCTTCCCTATTCAGCAGCCCTTCTGCGCTGAGCCTGCCAGCGACAGGAAGCCTTGAGGGAAGCTAAGGCCGGTACCCGGAGCCCACCGCCTCTCAGGAGGCAGCCTGCCAGGAAGTGACCCCGGCCTCGGGCTCCAGCGAAGTTTAGCCCAACTCCCTTCCCAGGCTCCACCCACACGAGCTGAGAGACAGGCCAGGGTGTGGCCCCGCGCCCTTCTCCCCATCACGGGGATGGAAAACAAAAATTCTCAGGCCAGAGGAAGCCAGGGAGTACAGCGATGGGGCGGGCAGCCATGTTCCTTTCTGCGCCTCATCCCTACACCACCATCCCTGCCGTCTCTGCCAAGGCTTCCAGGTGGGCCCAGGCAGAGCCATGTGGCCACATGGGTGCCAGGAGGAGGAGGAGGAGGAGTCTGATTCTTCCGCCAACTCGCAGCGCAGGGGTTCAGTCTAAATCCCTGGGAAAGGGAGTTTGTAATGTTGCCGGGGATCACTGGGTTAAGGGCAGCCCTTCTCCCCCTTCCCGTTCCCAAGGCTCCTGGGCTCCTAATTAGTTCCCTGTGGGAGCCCTGGGTTCATAAACCCACCCAAAGTATGACGCAAGATGCCTGGACAGGGTGGGTAGTGAACAGAGGATGGACCAGGCCACCCTCTGAGGCTAATGCCCCTGTCCCCCAGGTCAGGGACAGGTCGCACCCAGACCCACAGCATGGAACTTCTTCCAACATCAGTTAGGACAGGAGCCAGGCTGCTGGGGCAGGGGGCAGGACTGGCCCTGTCCAGAGTGGGGGGCCTCTAGCTGAGAGGACAATCCTCTCCCCAGGCCACTCCTTCTGGGCAGCCTGGGACAGCCCTGCCACGCTCCCCTGACACATGGATGGCACTCCCCTTCCTTACCTGGGGCTGGCTGTTGCCACCGCGGCCTTGGCCTCCTCAGGGCTGGGCTCTCTGAGCAGCATCGGTGACTCCGGTGGCTCCGGGCGGGCGTGGCGCGGGCCTCCAGGACGGGCAGCCGCCCCACCCAAAGCGCCCGCGGGCCGGGACCTGCCGGCTTCCTCCCGCTTTCCTTTGCTTCTGCACAGGAGCAGGAGGCCTGAGACCAGCAGGGTCTGGGGCTGGTGGTATCTTCAGACAAACTTAACTCCAGAAAAGACAGAAGGAAACAGTGGAATGGAAGCTGTGCGCCAGCGAGTGGAAAAACAGCCTCCCGGCGCCAGGCAGAGGCGCGCGGCGGGGAGGGCGGCGCGAGAGGGGAGGAAGTTGAGGCGCCTGTTCTGCAGCTGCTGCAGGCGGGCTGGCTCCTGGCCCCTCCGCCCCCTGTCCTGCTTTGGGGCCCTGCCTGGCCGTGCTCCAAACCAGTGGGAACAGTGGGGGGCTCAGCAGGCACCCGGCAGTTGGCCTCGGGAAGATCTAGCCCACCAGTCCGCCCTCCGTGCCAGTTTCAAGAGCACCCCCATGCTTGACCCCCACTGGGCAGAAGCTACGGGAAGGACACCCCCACACAGTCAGGGGAGAGGGCATCAGATTGGCGCTGACCCCTTGCAGGATACACGAGGCCACAGGCCCCTTCTCCTTCAGAGCTGTCCTCCCACAGACTAGACAAACCGTCCCCAATGCCGGCTCTTCTATAGTTCAGCTAACTCCCCAGGTGCAGCTTCAAATCTCTGGATGGCTGACAATTTAATTCAGGAGCCTAGGGGTTGTTTGAGGCCCCACAGGCAGAGCTCTGATTGGTGGGTGGAAATCTAGACAAACCGTCCCCAATGCCGGCTCTTCTATAGTTCAGCTAACTCCCCAGGTGCAGCTTCAAATCTCTGGATGGCTGACAATTGAATTCAGGAGCCTAGGGGTTGTTTGAGGCCCCACAGGCAGAGCTCTGATTGGTGGGTGGAAATCACAACAAGGCAGGTTTCTGGAGGAAGCCCTTTGTAGCAATCAGAGCTGCCCAGCCCGTCCCAAAAAGGGGTAATGAGCTCCCCACTGTGGGAGTGTGTGAGCTGAGGCTGAAGACTCAGGGGTCGGGATTGCCGAAGAAGAGAACAGGCTGTGACCCTTAGGACCCTGTCAGCTCTGCAGTGCTTGCAGGTCCCTGATGGTGGAACTGCTGGGTGACACGCTGGCCTCCCTGAGTTGCCAAGGAATGTGCAGGAGTGATGGAAAGGGAACAGTGTTTGTTTCAGATCCTACCATGTGCCAAACACGGTCTCAGCTCCTTCCCTAGAAGTTATCTCCCTTTATCCTCACCACCGTCCTGAAAAGCAGGTCTTTTAATATCCATTTTACAGATAGACACACTGAGGCTCAGAGAGTTTAGATGGCCTGCTGTAGGTCCCATAGCTCTGGTGTTTGACCCAGGTCTGCCTGACCCAAAGCTCTGCTCTTTCCTTCACTTTTGTGCCTTCTGAGACCTCTGGGGCTTCTTTTCCCACTGGAAACCCCCTGCCCCCCAAAACACACCTGGTTTTTACTCATCTGAATCCTTCCTCTCATTCAGGGCCCACCCCCTGGGGGAGCCCTCCCAGCCCACCATGGCCTACAGGGATCCGAGCTCCCCAAATAATTAAAGGGAAGGAGACTGGGCCTCAGAAGGGAGAATGGAGGGAAGGATGGAAACCATGACCAGGATCAAAACGGATTCTTAGACGGGTGAGACTTAAGACTCAAAGATGTCTGAGGTGGGGCCTGAGCAGGGAGGGAGTAGCTTATGTGGACCCCTGCTTCCTCCCCTACAAAGATTGCGCTGCCTGGGGGAGAGGAGGGAAGCCCTCAGATTCAGAAATCAGCAAACACGTTAGCCTTCATGTACTGAGTGCTGCTATGTGCCATGCCCTTTCACCCACAACCCCATGAGGTAGGTGCCCTTGTGCCATTGTGCAGATGAGGAAACTGAGGCACAGAAAATGAAGCAACTGGCCCAGGGACAGTTTGTAAGTGGTAGAGCCAGTATCTGACCCAGTTCTGTCTCACTCTGGGGACTGAGCTGTTTCCACTCTAGGAGGCTCCCCTCTTCCCTCATCCCCACCTTGGGGCAGAGGCCTCTTAGGACTTTATTTTTTTTAATTTCTTTTGTGACTGGCCTAGGACAGGGATCTGAACCTTTGACCTTGGTGTTACAAGGCTGTGCTCTAACCAACTAAGCTAACCGGCCAGCCAGAGCCTTCTTAGCACTTCAGACTTCCCCACGGGGTGGGGTCTTTGAGAAAATGGAGAGACCTCAGCTTCTGTGTCTAACTTCTCAAGCCCTGGGGATGGCTGATTTCCCCTGAGACCTGGATGTGAAGAGGGTATTACGGTGGTCTCCAAGGACCATCACCCCCACCAATGGAAGCCTTTGGTGCTTGGTGCTAAATAAATGAGCAGACCTTAACAGTTACCAAGTGACCTCCATGACCCTGATTCTCCTAGCTTCCCGCATCTTGTCTCATCACCTGTTATCCCAACTGTGTCACACCGTGTGTCATGTCCTTATGGGCCCCCTTGGCCCACTCAGCCTCACTCAGGAGACTCTGGCCAAAGTCAGAGGGCTCCTACTCCATGAGAGGGCTGGAGGCCCTCCCACTCCCTGAGGCCTGAGCGGAAGGGAAGAGAGTTCCCAAAATGTCACAGACAAGAATGGACCCTGGGGCAGGGATGTCTGCAGAATCTGAGAGGAGACAGTGAACCAGGGATGAGGCCCTTGGCTCTAGAAGTGGCTTGGGAGGGGCTGGGCAGGTGGGAGCCATCTGTCCCTGTGTCCTCCAAGCCAGTTCTGAATGCTTCTGAGTAATATTCCTCATGGCCCCCTGCTCCAGGGCCATCCAGGGCAGTGTCACAGCTGGAAGAGTGAAGTCCCCTTCCAGCTTCAAATTTCCTGCCTGGGCAGGCGGATCTGCTCCAGGGGCCTCCTGCCCAGCACCCAGAGCCTTCACTTTCCCATCTGGTTTGGGGGTCCAAGGGGTGGGGGTTCGACCCCCCATTCCTGCCTCTTCAGCCAGCCAGGGCTCACACTTTGCTGAAGTAGGTGGCCACTTCTTTGCGTGGAGGCCGGGGCTCACCCCCAGCCCAGCCGTTGCCCATCAGCATCTCCTCCTGGCCCAACCGCAATGGCGGTTTGCATTTGTGCCAGGTGGTGAGCAGCCTGTTCATGGTGCCTTGATCGGTGATGCCGCGCAGCTTCTCCCTCTCCTCCTCAGCGCCGTCGGCAGGGGCGGGGGTGGGGGTAGGGGTCACTGAGGTTGTGGGGGCCACTGTGGTAAGTGCCCCATGGGCATGACCCAGCTCCAGGTCATGGTTCATGGCCTCGAAGAACTGCTGGATGCAGACCTTGGCAAAGGCCTTGGCGTGCTCTGTGCAAGTCTCATCGAAGAGCTTGCGCTCGATGTCGATGTAGTGGGACCAGTACTTGCTCTTGAGGAAGGCAACCTGTGTGAAGCAGGGCCGCGCCGAGCGCACCACGAATGCCAGCAGCGTGGCCAGCAGCACGAAGGACCAGCCCAGAGCCTGTGGGGAGAGGATAGAGTCAGCAGCACTGGCCTCCTGCCTCCACGCTGTCCAGACCCCTAGAGCACTCCCTGTGCCCACAGGGAAAAGCACACGGGCGGCATAAGTGACTTTCCTCTTGGCCTCCATTTGCACATTTGTAAAATGGATGCAGATTTGCCCATGTCAGGGTAAAGAGGTCATGTGAGTAAAGCCTCCCATGTTGGCCAGGCACTCAGTGCACAGGAGTTAGCTGTGCAGACCCTGGACTTAGGCTGCCTGGGTTTAAATCCTGTCTCCACTACTTACTCGTTGACCAGGAGCAAAGCACCTGCTTCTCTGTGCCTCAGTTTCCCCACCTATAAAATAAGGCTGGTGATAGCACCTATCACATAGGATTGTTATGAGGACTGAATATGATAATAAGCTTAGCAGGGTGCCTGGTGTGTAGTGCTCAGTAACTGCTAGCCACTACTACTGTGCCCTCGCTGAGCATGCCTCTTCCTTCAGGAAGCCTCCCTTGACCTCCACAGGCCATGGTGGTCCTACCTCCTCTGAGTCCTCTACCTCTTTTTGGGCTCCTGGTACTGTCACCAGAACCAAGTGAGCGTCTCCTCCGCATGGGCTCTGAGGTGGACCCTTAGGCAACAGGCACTCAAACTCTGCTCTGAAGAGTACTGGACTTTTGGGATCTAGCTCTGCTCTGTCAGTGGCTCACTGTGAGGCCCAAGGTCAGGCCACCAGCTGCAAGGAGAAGCGCCTGGACAGGTCAGGATGGAGGATGAGGGGCAAACCCACGTGCCTATCATGGGGGCCAGGTGGGGCATGACAGAGGAGACATCAGGCAAGGAGTTGCAGACCTTGTGCTCAGTCTGGTGGGCACCTCCTTGCTGCTCCATAGGCAACTGTGGGCCTAGTGGGGCTGGGTCTTCTGATACTTCAAGTAACGCTGGGAATCTGATTTTTATGTGAAAATGTTTGGCTTTTAGATGATGCCAATTAACTCTAAAGTTGAATTTAGAATTTGATCTTTGAAGGCCAAATGAAACATGTCTGTGGCCCTGACAGCCTATGGCCTCTGGGGGCCTTTTCAGCTTATAATAGGATGGCTTAAAGGTCAGGTGCAGGAACAGCTGCCCCAGGCCCTGAGGCCCGAGATTATGGGACAAGTGCCCACAGCAGAGGAAGCACAGATTTGGGAGGAGGAGAAGCAGAGGTGGCTTTGATCGCAGGAGAGAGGGAGCAGGGGGTGTCTGGACTTGCCAGAGCAGAATGTGCATGTTTCTCCAGCCCTTGCAGGGTAGGCCCACCCTTGCCCCCTATCCCTGATAGCACCTGGTCCACCACTGCAAGGATATGCTGCTGGGTGATCCTCCCCATGCTGCACCGACTAGAGGGGAGGCCTGAGAGGCAGAGGACATAGGAGTGGGGCTGGGGAGGACCCACACTCTAGCTGTCCCCGTCAGTGGGCCCTCCAACCTGCCTTTCGGTCACATCCCAACAGTGCATCATTCTCATCCATGTGCTCTCTTCCAAGGTACCTTGACTCTCAGCTCCCACTCCCCCAGTGGGGAGGCACCAGCTGGGGGCATTTGCCAGGGAAATGTACCCAAATGGCCCAACCACCCACCAGCCTCACCACTGCCTAGGCCTGGAAGAGGAAAAGCATGCAAATTCCCCTGGCTTCCAAACTCAGAGCTCAGTCTGGAGTTTGTGGGGTCTGCTCTGGGGACCTCAGGACAAGGGACAGGCCTGCTCTCCAGAAGCCTCTGGTCAGAGCAAGCCATAGCACTTCCCCCATGTGGCCCCATCTGAAGGAAGACACCTGGCTCCGCCTTCCGTCTCAGTTGGGAAAATGTGCCCCCACCCCTCAGAGCTCCACCTGAAGGGAAGCTTCAGTTTGAGAGGTGGGGGTATAGGGCACTCCCCGAGGGACCCTGGTCTGTGGGGGATACCCAGCCCGAGGCCATGTGGTCCCCTCACCTGGGAGATGCAGCGCAGGTAGCGCACAGCCACCTCGCGAGCCAGCAGCCAGTCACCATCGTAGATGTCGGGGCAGGGCACCCGGGCCAGCAGGCGGGCGAGCTCAGGAGCTGGCAGGCTGGGCACCAGGCTGCTGTTGCCCAGCACAGCCACAGGCACGGTGGTGCAAAAGGCACAGAGGAAGCATTTGCCGTCCAACAGTGTGACGGCCACCCAGATGACGGGCGCAATGAGGGCGCGCTGGGCCATGGAGCAGAACATGTAGCGCAGCACGGCGGGGTCCTTGGCCCGGCGGCCCGGTGGTCGCTTCCACTCCTCGGCCAGCATGGACACGTTGTTGTTCATGACCAGGCCGAGCAGGAAGAGCACCAGGGGTGGCACCAGCAGGATGCCAACGCTGTAGGCTGTGTTGTAGCCCGGCAGGCAGGGGCAGTTGAAGTCGAAGGCCGAGTACATCTGCGCACTCGCCAGTGCCATGATGCCGCAGATCCCATTCATGAAGGACTCCTGGTTGGACTGCAGGAACTGGAAGATCATCCGGAACTTGTCCATTGTGCCCCCCGCGGGGCCCGGTGGCCTCTCCCCACCTCACCACGGTGGCAAAGGTGGCCCACGCTGCTCACTGGGTGCCTGCCTCATGACTTGGGTCCTCCTGGCTGGGACTGGCAGCGCTCAGGGCTGTGACTGAGGTCACTGTCACTTTGAGGAACCTTCTGGTCAGGTGCTGGCCGAGAGGGCACAGTGTGGCCAATCCTGTGGGTGCAGCCGGGATTGTGCCCCTCCCTCCCCAGCCCTCCCAGGTTTCTCTTTCTCCGCAGCTGCCTCCGGCACTAGGAAGGGCCACACCTGATGGGGACCGGCTCTCTGTGGGTATGGGAGGGAGGGAGAGGAAGGAGAGGGCAGGCTGGGCACAGGCTGGGATGATACTGTCTCCAGCAGGCTGGAGTTTGGGAGAGTCCAGGGCTGCTGCAGGGCCTCAGCTTCTGAGACTCATCTTCTGGGCTCCTAGGAAGCATGTCACCCTCCCCTGCCCTTCCCACTGGGTCTTTCCCAAAGCCGTGTCAGGATCCCAGCAGCTCCTCCATCAGTTCAGATAATAATGGTATGATGATGTGCTGATGGCAGCAACAGTGTTGGCTGCAGTGGGGCTGGTGATGGTGGTGGTGACGGGGGGATGGCAGTGGTGAGGGGCGTAGTGCTAATGAGGGCATGGCTTAGAGGAAAATGCCCTGGGTTTGGAGTCAGAGGACTTGAACTTGACAGGTTGCCTGGGCAGGGAGCTGTGGCCTGTGAGCATAACGTGGCTGCCTTTGTGTCCAGCGCCTGTCTCTGTGGGTTGTGGATGTCAAAACTTTTCCTGGCTCCACCACCCACCTTTATGTCCCCAGATCAAAAATAAAGGGATTGGGTGGTGGGGTTTCATGCCTGGAGCTTGGGCATCCAGAGTGTCTGCAGGAGCCAGACCAGGGCCCCCTCCACCGATACATCGGTGGGGAAGGGCTTAAAGGGCCCCCTTTGATGCCTGCAGCTCTCCCAGAAGGGCGGGTCAGATCCAGCTCCAACTGGATGGCTCCTGTCTGGGGCATGGGGGTGGGTCTGGACTGAGGCAGAACCCACACAGCCCATGGATCTGTGCATCCCTTAGTGTGTGGCCCTATGTGAGCTTGCTGTGGCTTCAGGCCTCCGTGTCTGGTGTCTGTGTGTGCACATGTGCATGTAACTGCATTAGTGGTCTCTGAGTCTGTGTGTCTGAACGACCAACAAGAACCAGCACTGACCCAGGCTCCCCTGAAATACTGCAGATCAGAGGAAATTCTTGTGATAAGCTCTGTTGGCTCTGTTTACAAGGGACAAGGAAATGTGCAGGTATTTCAGGAATGCAAACATGTGGCCCCTCCCCAACTCTACTTTGGTTAGGGTTTTGACATAAGAAACTCCATTTTGTATTGTTAACTTCACATTGTATTAAAAAGTTGTGCTTACCAAACTAAGCTAAAATTTTTCATTTTGAGAAGTTTAGGAGATTTCATTTGGATGTTTTATACAAATTCAGTATTTAATATCTTTTCTAATACTTTGTATTTTGTTTTTCTTATCATAATTATATAAGATAACATTATGGGTTTTTTTTTTCACCACGTTCTATATGGATGACTCCAAATCCTCTCAGTTTGCACCAGTGTCATATACCAATGAAATCATTGTCTCTATGTGCTGGGGGAATTAGGAACCTGTGCTTCTGAAGGATGGAGGGGCAGGAGTAGGGCCTGAGAGAGTGGGGCTGGGGGGCTGGGGGTGGCCTCATGAACACCAGCTGAGTCCAGAAAGCCTCACTACCAGAGATGGGCAGAAAAATAGAGCTCACCTCCCTGACTGTTGTGAGAATTCAATGAGGTGATGAAGGTGAAGAGTCATCTTCACCTTTAGCGCAGAGCCAGGCACACAGTGAGTTGTCAGTACAAGATTATTATAACTGTAATTGTAATAATTACCATCCCTGCTCCTGCACTTTAGTTGTGCATTTTCAAAATCTGTATTAGTTTTCTATTGCTGCTGTAACAAATTACCACAAATGTGCTGGCTTAAAACAACATAACTTTATTCTCTAATAGTTCTGGAGGTCAGGAGTCTAAAATGGGTCTAGATGGGCTACAATCAAGGGGTTGGCAGTCTGTGTGCCTTTTGGAAGCTCTCGGGGAGAATCCGTTTCCTCACCTTCTCCGGCTTCTGGAGACCACCCACATTCCCTAGCTTGAGACCCTGCACTCCAACTTCTGTTCCGTCGTCACATCTCCTCTGACTCTGACTCTCCTGCCTCCCTCTTATAAGAACATATGGGGCCCACCTGGGAAATCCAGGATAGTCTCCCTATCTCAAGATCCATAACTTTATCACATCTGCAAAGTCCCTTTGCCACGGAAGGTAACAGTCACAGTTTCTGGAGGTTAGGCGGTGGACTCCATAGGGGCCATTGTTCTATTTACTACAAGAGGGGTCTTTGGTGTTGCATTTAGCAGAGATTGGTGTCTTCGCCTCCCAACCCCTGTAACTCCTAGGGCACAACTAGGTGTAAATGGAAAGCAAGATGTCATGACCCTGCTCAAACTTTTTGGAGTGTGGGGATAAACTCACCCACAGCCACCACTGGGGGATGCTCACCAGCACCCTTGCCTCCTGGCCTTGGGAGTGTTTTCTTGGCCCCCATTCCAGTGGCTTGGAGGCATTAGGGGTATCATGAAAAGCAGCATGCAAAGGGGGCCCCTGGGGAGAGCGGGTGCCGTACTTTTAGGAAAATGCCCAATTCGCGTAGGACAGCATGAGTGCGTGGTGCTCAGGTGGGCGCTGCCCTCAACCTGCTGCTGTTGGAGCATCCAGAGAACAAGGCAGTGGAGGAGGCAGAACCTGCGGTGAGACGAGGCTGCCCAGGCAGCTCGAGTGCTGCCAGGCTGTGTTATCAGAGGTATGGGGGCTTTGCCTAGGCAGGATACAGAGCTATGCTCTTCTGCGTCGGCCCAAACAAACTGCGGTGTATATATCGGGGCAAAACGGCAGTGCTCACCCAACAGTGCATGTGTTTCCTTACAATGCCCAGCCTCTGTTCCAGGGGGCTGAGTTCTGGCACAGGACTCGACGCCCACCATCTTGCCTGCTCTTGTCTTCCCTGTGATACTGACCCTGGAAGCCAGGTGTGACAGAAGCCTCTGTGCCCCACCCCTTCCCCTCAGCCCTCACTCTGCTGTCTAAAGGCTGCTCACTGAAAACACCTGAGACTCTCTGCCTGAGGCTTTTTTTTCTGGTATTGGGATTACTTGGCCCAAGGCAAGCTGGAGGTGCCCAGTTAGTGCCCCACCCAACAGTAGTCAGAGATCGGTGAATAAACATGCTGTCTGATGCTCCCAGAGCTCCCCAGTGGGGCTGGGCTCAGTCGCCCACAGTGGTAACTGGCTGGCTCCTCCACGCTGTTTCTCCCCTCTCCTGTAGCACTTTTCTTTCTTCCAGAGTGTCCTGGGAGCAACTTCCATGTGAGCTACTTGCACTTGCTTCGTTGTCTCAGGATGTGCTACTGGGGAATACCATGTGTCTTGAGGGTGGCATCACAAGATGGGGGTTGTCTGTCAGCAGGGTCTCCAAGTGACCATGTGCAGCAGAGCCTTTTTTCCCAATCTCCCTCCCCGTTTGCCTACCTCAGATTTTGCTTGAGTGAGAAATATATCTTTGTTGGGTTAAGTCACTGACGTTTTGGTTATATTTTTACTGCGTTCTATTTTTGCATTTCAGTCTAGCCTGACTAATACAGTGTCTAGGCATTCCATTTTAAGTAGAACATGCAGAGTCCATTCTCCCTGCTACATACCTCTAATCCACTGCATCTCTCCATCTCCACCCTAATCCTGGCCCCATCGGCTCTTGCCCGCCTTCTGCCGTTCACACCAGCCCTCTATGAAGCCTCTCCCAAGCTGTGGCCAGTGTGATCTTTTAAAAGTGAACATCTGATTAAATTACTACTAACTTAATTCCTTTCAATGGCTGAAGCCCAAAATCCTCTCCTCCCAGTGTCTATGCTCCAGCTCACTAGCCTGCTTGCAGTTCCTCAGACAGGACAAACCCCTTCCCATCTCGAGAACTTTGCACATGCTTTGCACATTCTGGAATGCTTCTCCCCCTGTTCTTTTTTTTTTTCTTTGACATCGAGTCCTTGTATAGGATCCCCCTATTCTTCACCTGAGAAATTCCTGTTCACCTTTAAGATCTTAGCCTAATGGATCCCTCTTTGGAGGGTCCTTTTTGAATCCTCAGCCACAACCACCATGCAGATGGTCTGCCAGCCACTGGAGTGCATTGACACAAGGAGAGTCACCAGCAGAGGTAAAGAAAAGCAGAGGATGTCTCTCTCCACAAAGCCCATTCCAGAGTGACAGAAGAAGCATCTGCTCTATGATAATATTGGGGACCTGATCACACCTCTCAGCATTGGACAGATAATCTAGGCAACAAATCAAAAGAGTAACCATTATTCTTTCAGAAGGAGAGAAGAAATCTAGGGTGATTAGAGGGGACAGGGGGAGGGAGAGGGGGAGAGGGAGAGATTGGACAAGGGGCTTAAAGAATAAGTATGATTGTATGTGGGATCCGAACCCTCGGGCGGGAGCGCCGCCACGCTTCCCAAGCGGCGCACTATCCAGTGCGCCACCGGGCCGGCCCCCAAAAAAAAGTAATATTGATTTGATCAACATATCTCAGTGTTGAACCCCAAAAATATGTATAATCAATTTCGATTCAAAAAATTTTTTTTTAAAAAGTGGGGCTCCCGTTAGACCATAAAGGCTAAAGGTCCACATCTTTTATATTCCCAATGCTTAGCACAGTGTGGCTGGTGCATAATAGATGTTCAACTAATGTGTTGAATGAATGAACACAAGGAACACAAGGATAAGTGAATAAAGGAAAGAAGTGAGCCTTGGACCAAGATAAAATTTGGGGGAAGCAAGAATTCAGACATAAGTAGGAGGCAATACTCGCCATCTGGTTCTAGGCTTCCCTCCAGGGTGAGGTGTTGTGAGGCACCCTCCCACAAGAAATGCACTTACACGACACGCCACTTGTGCAGAAAAGGGCAGTTTATTCACTCCAGCTGCCCAGCGTCCATCTCCCAAGGTGCAACCAAGGAAGAGCAGCCTCGGGCCTTGGTCTTGTAGGGTTTTTAAAGGCAAAAACTATATCCCATTGGCACACAGGTTTGTCCAGGTGCACAAAGCAAGCTAGGGAGCTAGTTCACAGAGGCTGAGTTCACGAGCTGTTCGAGCAATCAAGCATACAGGTTTTCATTGTGTATAGTTCCTGTTCCCATGTAATAATTCACTGTGTATGGCTCCTGTTTCTATGCAATGGTTTTTGTTTCTATGAGAAGGTCAACAGTTTCTCATGCAGAAGGGGGGGGTAGTCTGCAGGTCAGACAGGGGGCAAATGGAGTTACTTAGGTTAAGCAAGCAATTCTACAGAAGCAGATAGAGTACTTTATGAGGGTATAGGGAGCTCTATTTCAGAGGTTCTGTGGGAAGAGCAGGGAGGGCTGAAAGCTGGTGCTGTCCAACACTTGCAGCCATGGTAGCAGCCACGGGCAGCCCAGCATCACCTCTGCCCTGCCACCATTTGCCACCCCATGCCACCTGCCATTGGCCTTTTCTAGACCCTCAGGTACATTCTCCCTACCCCACAGCCCCTTGTCTTCCCCCATTAGAGCTGATCAAGCACAGGCAAGAAGTCATCTCATTTATCCTCAAAGGGTTGGGCAGAGCTGGGCCCTCAGCAGAGAACTCCCTCATTTTCTGTGAGGCCCTTGAAAGTGGAAGAATGCTAATGTGGACACAACTCCTCTGCTTCCATCATAGACTTTGGGTCCCAAGGGTTGGGCAGAGCTGGGCCCTCAGCAGAGAACTCCCTCATTTTCTGTGAGGCCCTTGAACGTGGAAGAATGCTAATGTGGACACAACTCCTCTGCTTCCATCATAGACTTTGGGTCCTGGTACCCTTCCCCATACAGAGATGCTGAAGGTCCCTCCCATAGCAGTATCACAAATCGGGCCAGGACCCAAACTCCCACTCTTCCCTTATAACCCTGGGCATGGCAGGCACCCAGGGATTTATATGAATCTTGCAGAAACCCACCCATCTGCTCGGTCTGGACCACCTCCCTGGGACAGCAGCCCCCTGCCCTTGCAGTTGCTGATAACCAGTGATTTTCCTTCTGTCCTCCTCCTCCTGGGTCTCTTAGCAGCACTGGATATGTTGCTCATTCTTCACCCATCATGAAATTCTCTCCTCCCTCGCCTGCCTCTGGACTCGCTGCCTCTGTGATTGCTCCTTTCTCTCCTTTGCTGCCTCTTACTCCTCCAAAAATTCTAAATGTCTTAGTCCTTCCTCTTCTCACTCAAGCCCCTCTCTCTTGATGGCCCTGTCCATTCCTATAGCTTCAGGCGTCCCCTCCACGTGGGTGAACCCCAAATATCATCCCTCTTCCTGACCCTGTCACCAAACACTTGCTCTCATCCCCACTTGCCTGAAGGATAAAGTCAAAGTCCTGAGCTAAACCCTCTAGACTCCCACCATCTTCCTCTCCTCCTGCAGAGCTGGCAGAGATGGGGGCTACAGCTTCCAGGCCGCACGAGAAGGGGAACTTGTACATCAAAGCCTGTGCTTCCAGTACATTTCTGCCCTGCCCAGCTGATCACCGTGTCTTCCAGAAGAGGCTCCACATACAGGACAGGATCAGGAGAGCTATAACCTATAACTGGCTGAGGTTTGGAGAATGAACTTGGGTCCCCTAAAGAACTGCTGCCCCAGGAGGGGAGGGTCTTTAGGAGCCAGGTGGAAGCCTCCCACCTGTGTCCCTCACTCCCTGGTGGGGTGGCATGCGCTGTTCCAGGCATCTCACTCTTGCAGGGATGTGAACAATGGTAGTGGGGATGGACAATGGCAAAGAGGTTTTGGGGTTTAAAACCACTTCATCTGCAGACTGAAGAGCGTGGGAGATGTATTCCAAGGCTGTCAAGGGCAGAGGATCCAGAGAATGTGTTACTGGGTGCAGGGCTCAGGGAGCATCGCTTGGTGGGACTCCTCCGCCCACTGGTCTTTTACTTTTGACCAGGCTGGACTGCACGCCTCTCCATTTGGTCATTTGCTCATGTCCCTGTCTCCCCTTCTAGACTGGAAGCTCCTTTAAGATAGGACTATGTCTGTTCTACTCTCTGGGCACTCTGGACACTCAATACATACCTGTTGAATGAGAAAATGACAAGTCCTCTGCCTCTAGCCCAACTCTATGCCTTTGTTCTCATGTTTCCTCCCTTAAGGTGCTCTGCACCCACCCCATCTCTCTTTCTGCTTGTCAAAAGCCTCCCCATCCTTCAAGACCCATTCATATGGCACCTTCACCATGAAGCCTTCCCTGACCCCCCAGCTTGAGGCCTTTTTCTTCCTGCTAAATCCCCGTGGCACATGGCTTGCCTCTCTTACATCACTTTACACTTTTTGCTTTAGATTGTCATTATTTCTGTACCCATCTCTGTCCCCCTAATATTCTCTCGTCTATTCCCCAGCACAGTTTTTTCTCTGCAGTAAATGCTCTGTAAGTGCCCATCATAAAAAGACAAGAGTATTGATTGCAGCTGGTGACTTTTTACTGGTCCGGATGCTACATCCTTGGAGCCCAAAACAGGGTCCTTGAGCCTCCTTTCCCCAGGCCGGGAGCGTACCCATGTGACGGGGCCATCTCCAAGGTCTCCCTCCTTCCTCCCCACCCAATTGTTGCTAACACTTTGCCTAAATCGTGCCCCACCCCAGTGCCATTTGAGACATTTGCATGGCCTCACCACAGCCAGGAGGTGGGGGGAAGCTGAGCTGCAGGGATTTTCTGGTGTCACAAGGTCCTTTGGCAAGAGCTGGAGATGGCCTGATGGAGGGGGCTGGGCTTCAGGGGCCCCTTCACTGCACTGCCCCAGGGCCCTGAGGAAGTAGAAAAGCACAGGGTGAACCCACATCTGCAAGTCTGTGGCCACCATCTGTGCTGATGGAGGCTATGGCAGGATGTGTATGTTGGCTGGGGGGAGTGGGGGGAGAGTGAGTCATCAGGGAGGGGCAGAGGCCCAGAGGACCTCAAAGGCTAGATCCTCCCAAACCCTTCCTGTTTGGGATGCCAGCAGATCTACCACTGGTTTTTCAGGGGTTTTTGTTCCTGAGCTAGACCCCACAGCCATACCTAGCCTGGAGAAATCCTCACCAGGGTGCCCACAACCTCTTGCTAAGGGCAGCAGATAGATACCCCGGGCAATGCCTGGGGAAGGGAGTAGTCTTAGAAAGGGATAATGCAGAGTTCAGGGGCCAGGAGCTCAGGGACCAGGCTGCAGGCAATGGGCATGGTAGGGAGTGGAAAGGCAAGGGTGGCAGAGCCTGCCAGCTAGAGGAGAGCAGAAGGCTGGGCCCAGAGAGGAACTGCATCTTGAAGCAGCCTGTACCCGCCAAGGCTGCTGAGCCTTGGCTGGCTAAAAACAGAATCAGTGGGACTTGAGAAGGTGGGAGTTGGAGGGACAGCTCTCTTGACATTCAAACACAGAAAAATCCCTTCAACAGGGAAATACAAAACTATTCATCTGTAGTAGCTAGCAAGAGGCACTAACTAGTGCTTTCAAGAGGAACTCAAATAGCAGAGCTTACTAGAACTTACTACGAGAACCTTGGTAGTAGAAGCTGCAGGAAGTCCAACAAGAGGACTGAAAACAAATACACAAACAAAACTATCTAGACAGCAGGCTAATGCAATAGCTCAGAGGAGACTGAGTCAGACAAATTCCAGCTCTTGCATGGGTGACCTTGGCAACTTAACCTCTTTATGCCTCAGTTTTCATTTCTAAAAAATGGGACTAATTATCGTATGTACTTCATTAGGTTACCTGAGGATTAAATAAGTTAATATGTAGGAAATTTGGAACGATGCTTGACACCATAGTAAGTACCATATAAGCATGTGCTGCTATTATTATTATTATTTAGAATCGACATCTAGGATCCAGAACTCATGGCAGATCTGTTTAGACTCTTACTACGCAAAATTTGGTCCACTGACCAAAAACATGTCAGCACCTTGGGGGAGTTTGTTAGAAACACAGAATCTCAGGCCCAGTCCTGGATGCACTGAATAAGAACCTGCATTTGACAAGAGCCCCAGAATCGTGTCCACATTAGCTTGCAAAACACACAGGAAGTCACACCCCAAAACTAGGCAGAGTTTGGGCTATTTTGGGTAGGAGGCCAACAAGGGTTAGGCTGCCTGCCTTGGGGAATCCCACGGGCTGAAAGTTCCCAGACCCTTGAAGCGTGGGGATTTCATGTGGGAACACTGCCACTGTTCAAGCTTGGTGGGGTCCCTACACATCGGTGTACTGGGACAGCCTAGTACCTGGGGCTACCATGGGGGCTCGGTGGCTGAGGCCACTCTCGCAGAGCCTGGGGGATGCTGCAAGGTCCAGCGGAGGTTTGCTGTTGTACCAGGTGTTCAGGAGGTGGTCCACCTGTTCCCGGCTGCAGACTGCGCGTAGGTAGGCCTTTCTGCTTCTGCTGTCCAGGCCCTCAGGGGGCTCAGGTATCTCTGGAGGCTCAGGGATCCTGGCCACTGAGTCCTTACGCAGCCCTCGAGCCCGCAGCTCGCTCTGCATGTTGGCGAAGAAGTGCAGGACGCAGCGGTGTGCGAAGTCCCGCGCATGCTCACAGCACGTCTCGTCAAAGAGCTTCTGCTCCAGGTCCACGTAGTTGCTCCAATATCTGCGCTGCAGGAAGACTGTCTGGTCAAAGCAGGGCCTCAGGCAGCGGGCCAGGAAGGCCACAACAATCAGCAGCAGAGTGATACTCCATCCGATGGCCTGGAGGGTAGGGAGGCACAAGGTTGGGCACAGGTGCTCCAAAGTTACTTTCTTTACTTATCCCTCCATCCTTCCTCAAATCTATCCATTTTCTCATTCAGTCATCCATCCTACCAACCATCCTCCATCCATCCTTCCTTTCCACTCATTCTCTCACCCTTGCATCCGTCATCTCTCCAACCATCTCTCCACTCATCCATCCAGTCATCTACCCTCTCATCTATTTGTGTATCCATCCATCTACCCATCCACCCACCCATCCATCCATTCACCCACCCACCCATTCATCACGGAGCTGCTGAAGGCACACACGAAGCACTTCCCGTCAAGGAGGGCCAGCAGGATCCAGACCAGGGGCGCGGCCAGCGCTCTCTGCAGCACAGAGGAGCACATGTACCTGGGAGCCGAGGAGAGAGGGGTCACAAAGGGCAGCTAGAACTCAGCTGCAGTAGGAAGGCCATGGGGGCGATGCAAAGATGGACTTCTCCAGGAGGGCTGGGAAATATCAGGTGGGTTTACATCGAAGGAATGGCCACAGCTCCCAGGGTAGAGGTCTCAGCAGCAGAAGGCAGGAGGAAGGAGGGCTGGGGGACCCTAGAATCCTAGGACTGAAACACTGAGGAGCTGGCTTTCCTCCTGCTCTAGGCCTTGTGGCAGACACTGTTAGTGCCCTGCCCATGCAGAGGCATCTGTCCTATTCATGTGGAGGGCCTGAGGGCTCTTACCTCAAGCATCTGTCTGGCTTTGCCTGAGGGCTTTGGAAGATTCTCTGCTCCAGAAAGGGGTAGTCTGGAAGCACTGGAGAGGTAACCCCCAAATCAGCCTTCAACCCAAGAGGGGCAGGGCCTGGTGGATAAATACCCCAGTGTCCTAGATCCTCAGCAGGACATTCTCTCTCTCTTGCTTTTTGGTGGTTGGCCAGTATAAGGATCCAAACCCTTGTCAGCACGACAACTGAGGTGTATTCTCAGAGGGTCCCCAGTAGGATTGAACCCCAGTTGCCCACTCATTATCACATTCTTTCCAGAGCCTGCTTTTGGGGGGAGACTAAACTAAAATAGCCCTGCCCAGTAACCCTCCCAAAAGGCAGCACCTCAAACCCTACCCCCCCACCAGCGCCCAGGGAGCCCTTCCTCTGACTGGCCTCAGGTGCCTTTCCTGACCCACTTGGTTCCTCTAGTGACCAGGACTGGGTCTTGGTCACAGGACAGTAGCCAAGTGGAGCAGCACCCACTGGATCCCAGAGGAAAAGGCACAGGCACAGCCAGTGCCTGTGAGCCCTGCTGCGTGGCTGAATCACAGGGAGTGTGTGACCCCCAAGAGTGTGAAACGGGCTGCTCATGCGCAGGATGCAGATGTTTCTAATTCGGACTGTGTACAAAACATAACATGGTATGTGCCGAGTGCGTGACAGCATGTGTGCACATGTGTGTGTATGCGTGTGTGTGCACGCGTGTCCATGTGTGTGACTTACACAGTGGTGAATGATAAATACATTGTAGGCAGTGGTGGCTCCAGCGTTTTCAAGGGGGGCAGAGTGGTTAGCAGGTGGCACTAGGGGCTTGTTATGAAGTTACGTTAGATGTGTTTGAGAACACCTCCACCGTCCATATCAAAGAATAGGAGAGAGGAGGAGATTGAGAGTGCACTGAAGCCCGCCAGCCCACTCTTGCCCCTGTGCTCAGACCTAGAGCACTTAGATGCCTTCCTGAGGCAGTTCCAGCTTGGGCTGCGGAGTCAGCCTACGCTGCAATCTGAGCGGTGCCGCTTTCTAGCTGTGGGAGCTTGGCCAACTTTCTTAACCTCTCTGTGCCTTAGGTTTCTCATCCTTAAAAATGGGTCTGATAAAGGAGCAGTCTTGGGGCCCAGGTGAGAATTCAGAGAGGCCATGTTCTCAGAGCCCTCTGCAGAGCTTGGCACTGAGTTGGTGTGAAGTGTCACCCAGTGAGCACTGCGAGTTGCTGAACTGCACCCACTGATTCTGATGTGGTCCCCATCTGCGTGCTAGGCTCCCAGGACAGAGGCCATGTTCTCAGAGCCCTCTGCAGAGCTTGGCACTGAGTTGGTGTGAAGTGTCACCCAATGAGCACTGCGAGTTGCTGAACTGCACCCACTGATTCTGATGTGGTCCCCATCTGCGTGCTAGGCTCCCAGGACGCAGTAATGCGTGGGGGGTCCCAGCCCTGGGGAACTTACTAGAGAGGGACACAGCCTTGAAGCAAAATCATTACCTCTCACGACATGCAAAACACGGCTGAATGTGTCATGGATGGCCTATCATACGTGTGATGAATTATAATCTGTGGCCAGCATGACAGACGTAGCCTGGATAATTCTGGGGAATCCTGTCTCATTCATGTGTTTACAGCACTGGCCACCAAAAAGTGACACATGACAGGAAGAAAAATAAATTTCTAGAGTGCAAACTGGCAAATGGGTCTCTGAGCTGACGATCCCTAGTTGGGGAAAGGAGGGGGCACACCTGATAGTGCCTGTGGGGGTGTGAGGAGGCCCTAACCTTGTCTATGAGGGGTGGTTGGCTATTGGTGGCACAGCTGGTGGTGCCTGTGGGGTGGGGATGGGGAGCCCCTGACAATGCCCATGGGCTGCTGAGTGGTGTGGGACCGCACCTGGTGATGCCTGGGTCCTTCCTCCGGTGCCCCAAGGGCCGGCGCCACTCCTCCACCATCACCACGGACTGCCTGTTGGCGAGGAGGCCGCAGAGGAACAGCGCGAGCGGGGGCGTGAGCAGCAGGCCCAGGCCGTAGAGGGCATTGTAGCGCGCCAGGCAGGGGCAGTTGAAGTCAAAGGAGGAGTACAGCTTGACGGTGACCGCGGCCAGCAGCAGGCAGATGCCATTCATCACCGACTCCGAGCTGGACTGGAAGTGCTGGAAGAGCAGGCGGAATTTATCCATGGCTCTGGCCTGAGTGGGCAGGGGCAGTGAGGCTTGGGACACCTTCCTGGCCAGTGCCAGGCCACGCTGGGAATGAGCCAGGTGTCTGCAGGAGATTCTCTCCTCTTCTGAGGGCCTGAGGGGATAAGGAGGAGGCTGTGCCCTTTCTCCGGCCCAGCCTCCCGGGGTCCAGCCAAGGACTCAGGGCAGAGGCAGGTTGTTTCTACAGGGCTCCCCTGCCCAATCTGATTGTCCCTCAGTGCCACTCCCCTCCTCCGTGGGGGAATGAGTCACTGTTCTGTGACCAGCCAGCCCAAAGCACCTCTAGGCAAATGGGCCCCACCTGTCAGTCCATCCCTCCCCAGACCTCCTGTCTTCAGGCCAGACAGCTGGTGGGGCTTCCACAGGGGACAGGCAAATTCTGGGTGCGGTAAGGCAAACAAGCTGATGGAACCAAATCATGTGCTATGGTCTTGGTCAAAATCATGACTCAGCTCAGCCCAGGGAGATTTCATGTTGGCTTTCAGGCTGAGAGGAACGGGGGTGGGGTGTGGAGGCGGCCTAAAGGCTTCCTGGAAGATAAGACCCTGGAGAAGAGTCTTAAACTGTGTTTCAGCGTTTGCTGTGAAAGGGGCCATGGAAGGGGAAGACCTTCCAGGCGGAGGGTACTGCGTGAGCAAAGGCTGACAGGTGAGAAATGTCAGACAGAGGGTGTCAGGAGAAGGGACTGGAAAGGTCAGTGGGAGCCTGCAAACCCTTCCTCCATCTTATTCTGCCGCCCTCCAGATCTGGCCACCAGCTGACCCAGGTCTGATTAGTGCACAGCTCTTACGACCTCCCTCCTGTGCTCAAGTAGGACCAGGGGCCCCCAGCCTCCATGGCTTGGCACTCAGGACCCTCCTAGCTTTATGCAGACATGTCTTCCCCTCCACATCTTTGCTGACATCATCCTCCCACCTGCTCTCCAAGAGGCAGCTCAGACGAATCCCATTCTCCAAGCCACCCCTGGTGATCTTAGCCTGCGGGAGCCTCTACCTCCCACCCAGCCCTTGCAGAGGCTGCCCCAGCCTGTTATTCATGTTTCCCAGGTGTGGGGGCTGGATTCCTGATTAGGTAGTACTTGGCAAGGACAGGGACCTGGGCCTACACCTTTTTGTTTCCTGCAGCTTCTAGTGCAGTGCTAAGCTCACAGTAAGTGATGGCAAATGCTTGCTCTCTGTGACGTCAATGCTCTCGGACACCCTGTATTTCATCGCTAGCTCTGTCCTCTCTCTGGCTGCTTCTTGACCCATCACTGCTTCCCTGTGTGCTCCCAGGAAGCTGTAAGTTCTCGCTGCCTCTGTCTCGCTCCCTTGCGTTCTCTCCCTCTCTGTCTCTCTGACTCTACCTTTCTCTCTGTGTGTGTCACTCTCTGTCCCTCGGTGTGTTTCTGAGTCTTTCTGTCTCTCTTCCTGTCTCTGTCCCTCTCTCTGTGTTGTTGCTTCTTTCTGCCTTTACCTCCTCCTCGCTTGCTGCCACCCCACAGCGCCCCTGTCTGACAGGCCCCCAGTCCTGACATCAGCAGCCCGGCTTGGGGTGAGGGGTGGCGGCAGCCACGGGAGCCTACAGGTCTGTTCCTGGGGCCACAAATCAGCTTGGGCCTGGAGGGTAGGCTGGGGTGGGTGACATATCCAGACCCCAGCTACTTAAGCTCTTCCTCAGTCTTCTTCTCTCCACTCCCTCACTCCCAGCCCAGGGCCACCTCTGAGATGAGGAAAACCTCAACGACTGGGACAGCCCTGGCCGCATTGACGCCTGCTCCACCCAGCCTGGGCCTGTTGGTGTCCTTAGTTAAATTCGTGCATCAGCACTGCTGTCCTTTCCTCAGACCTCGGGTCTTTGTGGTCATGAATGCAGCTTCCTGCCACCCCCTAGAGTACGTGAGGTGAGTCCCTCAGAAGCCATCTTACCCTCCAAGGCCCTAACGCGCCGTCTCCACGGAGCTCTTCAGACCTCGGGTCTTTGTGGTCATGAATGCAGCTTCCTGCCACCCCCTAGAGTACGTGAGGGGAGTCCCTCAGAAGCCATCTTACCCTCCAAGGCCCTAACGCGCCGTCTCCACGGAGCTCTCCCTGATGACTGCAGCTGCGCTGACCACCCTTTCCTCCATACTCTTGGACAATTTTTAGAAAATGAACATGTCTTCATTTTTTTTTTCTGATTAAATACATCATTACAAAAAATCTAAAAATAGAGAGCACAAAAGTCTCCCCGTCACTGCACCTGCAGAGAGTCTGCCGTCTGCAGCCGTGTGTGTCCTTCTAAACTGGCGCCGGGCCTGGCGTGGACGGTGCTGGCCGGGCTGCCTGCTGTCCCTCAGGAGAAGTGTTAGTCGCTGTTAAAGAACAGTGGGCACTGCTGCTCGCTCAAATGCCACATGACGCCTGCCCATGCGACTTCCAGTTTGGGGTATGTCTTTGAAACCACTGTTCCTCTTAATCCTTGTGACAGGCCTCTCAGTGTGTCTCAGCCAGCCTCTCTGGAAGATGACAGCCAGCTGTTTGAGGGACCCTTGGGACCTGCAAAATTCATTTTGCGTAGATCACTTAGCCTGTATTTTATTTATTTATTGTTTTGGCAGCTGGCTAGTTCAGAGATTGAACCCTGAACCTTGGTGTTATCAGCACCACGCTCTAACCAATCGAGCTAACCAGCCAGCCCCACTAGCCTGTATTTTAAGTCAGACCATCCCAACTATGTCCTGCTAATTTCATAACTATCTGTGTAGTCTGTACCTCTGATGAGATAGCAACAGATAGAAACCAGGGTCTTATTTATATTTTTACTTTATGTAATTTGTGTGTTAGTCTGGGTCCTGTGAGACAGGATTGCCAGTGTGAGGGAAGACAGGCAGGGGGCTGGAGAAAGCTGGGAGAGCCATTGGAGGCGATGCCAGCCTGACTCGAGTGGGGGAGAGGGAGGGAGGCAGCCTGAAGGTGAGAAACCCTTCAAGCCCACTTCCTTCCCCTGGTCTAATGCAGCGGAGGACAACCACCACATTTTCAGGTGGGTGTGGTCTCAGAGAGGCTTCATGTCCCATCTGAGGTCACACAGCCTAGCAGGGGGACAGAGCCAGGAAAGAAGCTGGGATCCTCCTTTTGGGCCTCAGCCTTAGTTACACACCAGGCTTCCGACTGGAAAAGGGAACTGTCCTGCCCAAGGCCAGGCTTCCCAACCCTGAACCAGCAGGGCTGGCATGGAGCAGGGGGCAGAGAACTGGGCTGGGAGGGTCATGAGCCCCCCTCTCCTGTTCTAGTCTCAGGAAGGGGTGGGGTGGCCCGAGGGTCTTCAGCTGCCCCTAACCTTGGGAGTCTCTGGGAAAAAAAAACAGACGATGCTTCTGGGAGGACATTCTGAAGAATATTGGCTTAAGGCCTTTCCCAGGCCAATCTTTTCACAGCTCCAACCTCTGAGAGGTGAGACAGAGCCCCCAGGTCAGCCTGGGTCCCCTGGGACCCCGTGGGACAGTAGTGTGCTGTGTGACTGCAGCTGGGCTGTCCTTGCCTGTATGTACCAGAAAACACTTCAGTAAAGAAAAGGACAGGAAGGAAGCCCACCACAACTTAAAGCAATATTCTCTCTCAGGGGGAGGGGATGGCTTTACATTAAAAACAAAATCTGTATTTTCTGAATTGCCTACTTTTATAGTAATGATTTAAAAAAATTTTTTTTTTCCTTTTTGTCTTTTTTCGTGACCGGCAACGGATCGCAACCCTCAGTGTCGCGCCCGTACCGGACCGGGACCAGCAACGGGATCGCAACCCTCAGTGTTGCTCCCGCACCTCGCTCAGCCAGTGAGCGGCCGGTCTGTATGTGGGATCCGAACCCTCGGCGGGAGCGCCGCGCACTTCCCAAGCGGCGCACTGTAGCAGTGCGCCACCGGGCCGGCCCATGATTTAAAAATTTATCCAATAAAAATCATAAAATATTTTTACTGGAAAAACTATAAGGGACAAAGGGACAGGTGAAAAGGGGATCACATTTTGTTGCCTGGAGCTCAGGCCTGCCGAGCTAGGAGAGGACAGAAGGACATTTTACTCACGTGTATGGAAAGATATTAAATTACAGATCTGCTGCATGATAATGCCTTAAACCAGACTTTCTCAATCCTCTATCCCATTCCAGGGGTCTTCAACTACGTTCCTCATGGTCTTTTAATTCTGGGATAATTTTAAAAATTCATATTTTCTTTTTGATAATTAAAAAAGATTTTTTAAACCAGTTGTAAATGTGTTAACTTGCAATTGGAAGATTTTTATAGAATAAGTTTTTGGTTTCTTTCTTATGTTTTCCTCAAATTGGAGTCTTGCAGGTATATTCTTCAGAGTCTTACGGACTATTTCTCTCCTTTAAAAGGAGTCTGGATATTATTTGAGAAACATTGGCTTTACCATTCTTGGAGTTCCTGTTATTGAGAGGGCTCTTTAGGACCGGATGCCCCCTGCTGGAGAAACTCATTGTATCTGTGCATGAGTGATTGTGCTTGTGTGTGTGTGTGTGTGTGTGTGTGCGCGCGCGCACGCACCTGTGTGCCTGTGTGTACATGTGTGTGTGCATGCACCTGTGTGTGCCTGTGTGTACCATTGTATCTGTGCATGAGTGATTGTGCTTGTGTGTGTGTGTGTGTGTGTGTGTGCGCGCGCACGCACCTGTGTGCCTGTGTGTACATGTGTGTGTGCATGCACCTGTGTGTGCCTGTGTGTACGTGTGTGTGTGTGTGTGTGTACATATTGGGTGTGTGAGGTGTGCATGCCTGTAGTGTGTGTATGTGTGTGTACATATTGGGTGTGTGAGGTGTGCATGCCTGTAGTGTGTGTATGTGTGTGTTTTTAGAAATATGGGTGTGGTTGTGTCACTATTTGGTATATAGTGAGTACCCTTGCCCCTGAGGTTTCTCTTTCTCTTCTTTTTCCTTTAAAAAGAAGCCTTTGGATGCATGTCCCACTTCTCTTGCAGGACTGGGAGGCTATTTTTCCTCATGG